AAACACACAACGACAATAAATAATTAAACACACAACGACAATAAATAATTAAACACACAACGACAATAAATAATTAAACACACAACGACAATAAATAATTAAACAACACACAACGACAATAAATAATTAAACAACACAACGACAATAAATAATTAAACAACACACAACGACAATAAATAATTAAACAACACACAACGACAATAAATAATTAAACAACACACAACGACAATAAATAATTACATGTAAATATACAGAACACTTAACAACATCAAATTATAAAATCATAAACAATATAACGTTCACCATCAAAGCAGTACAATTTATGTAAATCATTAATACTACGTATTGTGACGACGCAGTTCGATGACTAACGTTTCCATAGCTTTAACGGTGTCGTACTACAGACAGTGGTAGGTTTATTTAACAATGTATGTGTAGGAACTTTTTGTCCAGAAGTCGAAGTTGATTACCATAGCCTCTCTCACAGGTCTTGTTTCCTTCATAGTGTGTTCTTCATTATGACAAATCTGGCCCTTAGATAGGAAACGTATTTTTTGTTCACTGATCAGAAAGTATATAAACACATTTCCGCGACAGAGTCTGGCGGAAGGACATCTTTTCGTTTCTATGCGGGAGAGATCTTGTATAACGCAGTCTCGCTCGACGGACGGCAGCCATCACATTCGAATATCTTCGCGTGCGATTGTCTTAACGTGTGCCAAATTCTTGAAAAAGACATCTTATATTGATTGTAAATTCTCTGTTTATTTCAACTTCAAGTTTTTGTACATTTTCCAAATAAACTGATGTGATTTCATTTTATTATGATAGTAGTTCTAGTAATTTGAAGAAAATTGACGCTCCTGTTCTTATGCCTATCATTCATACGTTAGGAGACATCATTGTATGTGACAGTGTAGACCAACATCTATCAACTAATAATATGTCTCCAATCTAAGCATGTCAAGATTCAAGACAAGAGCACCGGCAATCTTGCTTTGATATTACAGTCTTTTTTCAGTTTTTATTTCAATCAGTACTACCCCTCTTTTTGAATGTGAATATTTTATAGTTTGAATTTAGGGTTTCTTTGTAGTTCTCTCCGTTTTCTTTAACAAAATGGTAGCCGTGCATTGTAGGTGTATTGAGGAGTAAGCCATTGTAAGACTGTCGGAAGCATGTTCATGTTGCGATACACGGATCCGTCATGACTGTTCGCAATGTCTTCATCCTCTCCGGTTTTGTAATATGGTTATTCAAAGCTAATTTTGCATGATTGATGACGTTCTGTATGTAAATCTATAATTTCGCTGTTTATGCAAGGTTTGATAGGTGTTGTGTTACAGACGAATACGGGATATTCTGTCTCCTCCTTGCTCCTTCAATCACGGACTTATTCCAAAGGAGACTTAACCCTTACTTAAAATTCTCTGAAGCACCACATATAAAATAATAAATATAGTCAGCAATTCAATAAAGTTTTGAAGTTGGTTTACTGCCATCTACAGAGGCCTCCGTCAACAGAATGGTCCCATAACCATTGGTTGCTTATGACAATAACTATACCGATTATCTCCCTTAACTACATATTGAATATATCACCAGCTTCAATGGTTATCTCCAATTTCTACACTGGGTAACTCCCTTACGTACACTGCCTATATATCTGTATCTCCATTAACAACACTAATTATCTCCCTTAATTACAGTGATATCTCCCTTAATTACACTGGTATATCCGTTATCTACACGATAATCTCCATTAATTACACTGTTTATCTCCCGTAATTACACTGATATCTCCATTAACTACACTGATTATCTCTTTTAATTACACTAGTTGTTTCCCTTAATTTCACTGGTTATCTCCGTTAATTATAGTCATATCTGAGATCTCCATTAACTACACTGTTTATCTCCCTGCATTACACTGATATCTCCATAAACTACACTGATTATCTCCCTTAATTACACTGGTATCTCCATTAATTACACTGGTATCTCCATTAACTACACTTATTATCTCCCTTAATTACACTGATATCTCTGTTAACTACACGATGTTCACCCTTAATTACACGGCTTTTCTCCCTTAATAACACTGATTATCTCGATAAGCTACACTGATTAACTGCCTTCTTTACACTGATATCCCCATTACATACACGGAGTATCATCCTTAATTACACTGGTTATCTCCCTTAATTACACTGTAATTTCCATTAATTACAATGATTATCTCTTTTAATATACTAGTTATCTCCCTTCATTACACTGGTTATCTCCCTTCATTACACTGATATCTCCACTACATACACGGAGTATCATCCTTAATTACACTGGTTATCTCCCTTAATTACACTGGTTATCTCCATTAACTACAATGATTATCTCTTTTAATTATACTAGTTATCTCCCTTCATTACACTGGTTATCTCCCTTCATTACACTGATATCTCTATTAACTGCACTGATTAACTCTTTTAATTACACTAGATGTCTCCCTTAATTACACTGGTTATCTCCCTTGATTACACTGGTTATCTCCCTTAATTACGGTAATATCTGATATTTACGTTAACTACACAGGTTATCTCCCTTCATTACACTGATATCTCCATTAACTACACTGGTTATCTCTCTTCATTACACTGATATCTCCATTAACTACACTGATACTTTAACTATTCTAGTTACATTTCTGTATTCCCATTAACTAACATCAAAAAACCTCCCTTAATTACACGTTTTATCTCCCTTACAAAGAATCATATAAAAAAAGGCACTGCATCAAAACGAGCACAGTTTGATCAAGGAGACGCACATTTTCAATGTTTATAAATATTTCATCCACCATCCGTTCATAACGATATTTCATTCGGAATATGATTTTAAATGGTAAACCCTACATATTAAACCTCTCAACTTGAAGGGGGGGAAATCCAAGAGGAGGGGTAAAAAAAGGTTGAGGCTGGTAGCTGTGCTATTAGAAAAAATGTGCAGCTTGTGCACGATGAACATATATAGCAACTGGTGTTATAAAAAGTGTTGTTTTAGAAATACTGTATGTAATCATTACGTACTGTAGGTAATATATATATTTGCCTGTAAATGTAAACATATCGTGACTTGTGTACAGACTCTGTTTCATGTGCAGAATCTGTACTCAAAAACAGAAGAACATGCTCCCTGATGTAATTTTGCAAACATTTCTTGCCTGCTGTGACTATTCTACTGCATTTCAGAATACTTATTTAATATTTGTGAATTAATTCGTTAGAACAAAATATTGAGTTTGTATTTAAATCCTTAACAATGTCACCAACAATTTTCTCAAACAGAACAAAACAAAACTTCTGAAGATTTAAGCAATTTGCCATACAGGTGTTTGCTTCACACAATTTGTACATATTCCATAGTGGAAGCAGGTTTCACACAAAAATCGTAGGGGTAGGGGTGGGGGGGGGGGGGGGGTGTTGGAGGTTCTGTGTAAGAGACGATGCGCTTCGCTTATGGAAAGTGACAAAGGTTCCCGAGGTTTAAACCGCATTTCAAGTAAACCGGGGACCAGACTATTAACACAGTTAACCTGCATGATAGTTTGTTTGTTTGTTTTTTCAAGGCTTTAAGTGTTATTTTGTTTCCACGTGAAAGCTTAAAAGATATTTTAATCCAATCAATGAGTCGACAGTTTTCATTGCGCGCTGCGTTAAGTGGATTGTGGGTAATTTAAGTTTTAGAGACACTTACGTTCAACATATGTGTAGTTTGTTGGTAGCATGTACTATAATATACCTGAAAGCGCTCGGCGATATCCTGTACGACAATAATTACGTAGAACACACAGATTGCCTTAGCGCATTACACTCGATCGTCATTGCCTCTCTTCGTTACATACGCTATTTAAAAGTAATCGACACCATCCTTATTAAGATACAAATTTCACGATTTTAACATAGTTTTGCACGTGATGTTATGTTTGTGCACGTTTGTGCACGTGATTAACTGAGAATATTTACGATTTTCGCGTATGAAAATATACTCATTTTCCTTCACATGGAAGAACCATAATATGAAGATAACAGAACAGGAAGTTGTTTAGATATGACAAATTACACCCAGCACGTTACTTTTACAACGTCATTATTCTAGGCATGGAAACGACGACTGCTCACCGTCAAAATGGCTGTTCCATTTGACAGATTCAAATGTCGATAATTAATCGTTTACTTTTAAATTATCTAGTAGTATTTAATAGAGAAAGTTCATTAAAGCATGCAATTGTCTTGGTATGTGATTTATATGCACAATATGGTTTATTCCTTGCAAATGTTTGTCATTTATAAGGATCATAAACACTATATCACGACAGTTCAGCGCTTCAATAGCTCACACCAGGACGAAGGAAGCATTTTGACAAGGGAGATAAATCCTTCAGTTTTCACTAAAATACAATAACTCACAAGAAGGAAACATTTGAGGTGGAAGATAAACTCCCTGTTTTCATTATAACATCATAACATGACAGTTCAATGCTTCGTTAACTCACACAAGGATGAAGGGAATATGTTCACGGCATATTCTGAGGAAAACAACTATTTGCACTGCAACAGTCATGATTATTTTTGGAATTCTCCAAATTACGTCGAAAGCATTGCCGATGTTTATTTTTTAAAAAAAGCCTTTTCTGCTGATCACGTGACATTTATAACACTCCTGACACAAAATCAAGGCAACTCTTTACTGGCTAAGTGTACGTCAACAGATTAAGTAATTTAAAAGTGTGTAGAATATACAGATAATACCTGGAACGCTGAGACAGTTGAAGTAGCATTGCACATAAGTATGGCGTATATATGATACAGACACTTATGGAATAGTCAGATCATTGTTACTTTGCTTATTTTAAAGGGGACATGGGACATCGAGGACCAATGGGACCCATGGGACCTAAAGGGGAAATAGGTATTCCAGGCCACAGAGGACCCCCTGGTAAAACTGGACCCGCGGGAACTCCAGGTAAGTACGTGCTGTTGTCCTAGGTTACCCCAAACTGTCGTGTTTCAGAACCAGTATTAAATGTCGGCGGTAGTCGGGATGATATCACCAAATGAACACGTGATTATTGATATTACTATTATCATTCTAAAAAGGATTTGTTTTTCTGTCTGATAGCTCAATGTTCGTCGTTTTGTTTAAATACTACGTCCATACATACGTCATAATTCAGAGAATAATGTCTGTGCTGTTACTCGTGTCGGGAGAATTCACATGTAGTCAGTATATCAAACTAGAAATGATCACATTATACATGGAAACGTTTTTATAAGACTTTAATTCTCCATAGAAATTATCCTAATCCATGTGAATTGTTTAATTTAATCACAAATATCGATGGCGATTGTTTACTTTGTGAATATTTATTATGATGAAAACCTATGATATACGTCCGTCAGATCACATTTCAGTTAAGTCCACATTATCCCAGAGATAAAGTTATACTAACGAAATTGAATATAACAGCACGGTGCGCTGCGCAATCCTCCCATATTTATCTGTATTAAATACCACTTCGTAAAAACATCACCTTAACGAAGAAATAAAAATGCCAGGGAACACATCGGGTTAAAGGTTAAGGTTCACTTCATACATTATAACAATAGATTATTGTCTATCTATCATTGACGATAAACTATAACGTCATTTCTTCCCCCTGCTGGTTCAACAACAGCCATACTTCATACTCCAAGGATCCGAGGAACGGGAGTAAAAAATAACACATCAATTTAGTAACATTCTTTACAAAAATATGAAAAATCAAACGATATATTTATACAAATATAATGCTATTTTGTGGCTTCGTTTATCTAACTGTATTTAATGTACTGACAAATGTCAAGTGAGCAAGCTGGATGGTACATACTGCATATAGAATTGGTTTAATCAGAATATAGGGTCTGTGTGACATCTCCATGTATAGTTTTAATCAGAATACAGGGTCTGTGTGACATCTCCATGTATAGTTTTAATCAGAATATAGGGTCTGTGTGACATCTCCATGTATAGTTTTAATCAGAATATAGGGTCTGTGTGACATCTCCATGTATAGTTTTAATCAGAATACAGGGTCTGTGTGACATCTCCATGTATAGTTTTAATCAGAATATAGGGTCTGTGTGACATCCCCATGTATGGATCTGTGTGACATCTCCATGTATAGTTTTAATCAGAATATAGGGTCTGTGTGACATCCCCATGTATAGTTTTAATCAGAATATAGGGTCTGTGTGACATCCCCATGTATAGTTTTAATCAGAATATAGGGTCTGTGTGACATCTCCATGTATAGTTTTAATCAGAATATAGGATCTGTGTGACATCCCCATGTATAGTTTTAATCAGAATATATGGTCTGTGCGACATCTCCATGTATAGTTTTAATCAGAATATAGGGTCTGTGTGACATCCCCATGTATAGTTTTAATCAGAATATAGGATCTGTGTGACATCCCCATGTATAGTTTTAATCAGAATACAGGGTCTGTGTGACATCCCCATGTATAGTTTTAATCAGAATATAGGGTCTGTGTGACATCCCCATGTATAGTTTTAAGATGTGATTTTTATTTGTAGCTACGAGATCCTCTGATGTTACTTGTCAGTGACAAAACCATATGGTTTTATTTCATTTATAACAATGTAATATTTTGACTGTATATTGTGCCAGATTTATGCTCCTCACTGAAACCAGTCCGTCTGAACCACAGCCAATGGAATGGTTGAAATATTAAAAATTAGATGTTTCAATAAGATAGGAAGATGACCCTTGTCATAAAATGCATAAAGGTTCAAATGTTAGGCAAATAAAGCAATTAATTATCATATACAGAGCTCCACACATTGGTGGAATTAAATTACTTGATGCTTTGCGGAAAGGCCATAAGTGAAGTGTAATCTATGGTTTGATCGACATGAAACTGTATATGTACATTCATCTGCATTTCTACAGGGCCAAGAGGGGACAAGGGAGAGGACGGAGCGGAGGGACCAATGGGTCTCTTAGGTTTCCCTGGATACAAGGGCAATAGAGGTGAAATCTGTCGTGGTTTAGTGTTGTACTTTCCTTAGTTGCCTTGGTTTTATCTGAATTTGCTGATGTAACTTGTTTGTTACGTTATCTGATGTAACTTGTTGGTTAAATGATCTGATGTAACTTGGTGGTTAAGTTATCTGATGTAACTTGTTGGTTAAGTTATCTGATGTAACTTGTTGGTTAAGTTATCTGATGTAACTTGTTGGTTAAGTTATCTGATGTAACTTGGTGGTTAAGTTATCTGATGTAACTTGTTGGTTAAGTTATCTGATGTAACTTGTTGGTTAAGTTATTTGATGTAACTTGGTGGTTTAGTTATCTGATGTAACTTGTTGGTTAAGGTATCTGATGTAACTTGGTGGTTAAGTTATCTGATGTAACATGTTTGTTAAGTTATCTGATGTAACGTGTTGGTTAAGTTATTTGATGTAACTTGGTGGTTTAGTTATCTGATGTAACTTGGTGGTTAAGTTATCTGATGTAACTTGGTGGTTAAGTTATCTGATGTAACTTGTTGGTTAAGTTATCTGATGTAACTTGTTGGTTAAGTTATCTGATGTAACTTGTTGGTTAAGTTATCTGATGTAACTTGTTGGTTAAGTTATCTGATGTAACTTGTTGGTTAAGTTATCTGATGTAACTTGGTGGTTAAGTTATCTGATGTAACTTGTTGGTTAAGTTATCTGATGTAACTTGTTGGTTAAGTTATCTGATGTAACTTGTTGGTTAAGTTATCTGATGTAACTTGTTGGTTAAGTTATTTGATGTAACTTGTTGGTTAAGTTATCTGATGTAACTTGTTGGTTAAGTTATCTGATGTAACTTGTTAAGTCTGATGTAACATGTTGGTTAAGTTATCTGATGTAACATGTTGGTTAAGTTATCTGATGTAACTTGGTGGTTAAGTTATCTGATGTAACTTGTTGGTTAAGTTATCTGATGTAACTTGTTGGTTAAGTTATCTGATGTAACTTGTTGGTTAAGTTATCTGATGTAACTTGTTGGTTAAGTTATCTGATGTAACTTGGTGGTTAAGTTATCTGATATAACATGTTAGTTAAGTTATCTGATGTAACTTGGTGGTTTAGTTATCTGATGTAACTTGTTGGTTAAGTTATCTGATGTAACTTGTTGGTTAAGTTATCTGATGTAACTTGGTGGTTAAGTTATCTGATGTAACTTGGTGGTTAAGTTATCTGATGTAACATGTTGGTTACGTTATCTGATGTAACTTGTTGGTTAAGTTAACTGATGTAACATGTTGGTTAAGTTATTTGATGTAACTTGTTGGTTACGTTATCTGATGTAACATGTTGGTTAAGTTATCTGATGTAACTTGGTGGTTAAGTTATCTGATGTAACATGTTGGTTACGTTATCTGATGTAACATGTTGGTTAAGTTATCTGATGTAACATGTTGGTTAAGTTATCTGATGTAACTTGGTGGTTAAGTTATCTGATGTAACTTGTTGGTTACGTTATCTGATGTAACTTGTTGGTTAAGTTATCTGATGTAACATGTTGGTGGTTAAGTTATTATCTGATGTAACTTGGTGGTTAAGTTATCTGATGTAACATGTTGGTTACGTTATCTGATGTAACATGTTGGTTACGTTATCTGATGTAACATGTTGGTTAAGTTATCTGATGTAACTTGGTGGTTAAGTTATCTGATGTAACTTGTTGGTTACGTTATCTGATGTAACTTGTTGGTTAAGTTATCTGATGTAACATGTTGGTTAAGTTATTTGATGTAACTTGTTGGTTACGTTATCTGATGTAACATGTTGGTTAAGTTATCTGATGTAACTTGGTGGTTAAGTTATCTGATGTAACATGTTGGTTACGTTATCTGATGTAACATGTTGGTTAAGTTATCTGATGTAACTTGGTGGTTAAGTTATCTGATGTAACTTGTTGGTTAAGTTATCTGATGTAACATGTTGGTTAAGTTATTTGATGTAACTTGTTGGTTACGTTATCTGATGTAACATGTTGGTTAAGTTATCTGATGTAACTTGTTGGTTAAGTTATCTGATGTAACTTGTTGGTTAAGTTATCTGATGTAACTTGTTGGTTAAGTTATCTGATGTAACTTGTTGGTTGATTATATGATTATGTTTAAGTTGAGTTAGCTAGTGTTCCTTTTTGGTATAGTTAGCAGATTTAAGTTTGTAATTTGGTTATCTGAAGTGTGGTGTTATCTGAGGGAAGTGTGGTGTTATATGAGGGGAAAGTGTGGTGTTATCTGAGGGAAGTGTGGTGTTATATGAGGGGAAAGTGTGGTGTTATCTGAGGGAAGTGTGGTGTTATATGAGGGGAAAGTGTGGTGTTATCTGAGGGAAGTGTGGTGTTATCTGAGGAAGTGTGGTGTTATTTGAGAGAAGTGTGGTGTTATATGAGGGAAGTGTGGTGTTATCTGAGGGAAGTGTGGTGTTATCTGGTGTGGTGTTATTATGTGGTGTTATCTGAGGGAAGTGTGGTGTTATAGTGTGGTGTTATCTGAGGGAAGTGTGGTGTTATCCTGTGGTGTTATCTGAGGAAGTGTGGTGTTATCTGAGGGAAGTGTGGTGTTATCTGAGGGAAGTGTGGTGTTAACTGAGGAAGTGTGGTGTTATCTGAGGGAAGTGTGGTGTTATCTGGGGGAAGTGTGGTGTTATCTGAGGGAAGTGTGGTGTTATATGAGGGGAAAGTGTGGTGTTATCTGAGGGAAGTGTGGTGTTATCTGAGGAAGTGTGGTGTTATTTGAGAGAAGTGTGGTGTTATATGAGGGAAGTGTGGTGTTATCTGAGGGAAGTGTGGTGTTATCTGAGGGAAATGTGGTGTTATCTGAGGAAGTGTGGTGTTATCTGAGGGAAGTGTGGTGTTATATGAGGGGAAAGTGTGGTGTTATCTGAGGGAAGTGTGGTGTTATCTGAGGGAAGTGTGGTGTTATCTGAGGAAGTGTGGTGTTATTTGAGAGAAGTGTGGTGTTATATGAGGGAAGTGTGGTGTTATCTGAGGGAAGTGTGGTGTTATCTGAGGGAAATGTGGTGTTATCTGAGGAAGTGTGGTGTTATCTGAGGGAAGTGTGGTGTTATCTGAGGGAAGTGTGGTGTTATATGAGGGAAGTGTGGTGTTATCTGAGGGAAGTGTGGTGTTATCTGAGAGAAATGTGGTGTTATCTGAGGAAGTGTGGAAGTGTGGTGTTATCTGTGGGAAGTGTGGTGTTATATGAGGGAAGTGTGGTGTTATCTGAGGAAGTGTGGTGTTATCTGATGGAAGTGTGGTGTTATCTGTGGGAAGTGTGGTGTTATCTGTGGGAAGTGTGGTGTTATCTGAGGGAAGTGTGGTGTTATCTGTGGGAAGTGTGGTGTTATCTGAGGGAAGTGTGGTGTTATCTGAGGGAAGTGTGGTGTTATCTTATATGAATGTTTATTTGAGTTATCTGATATGAATGTTTAGTCAGCCGATAAAACATTTAAGTTGAGTTAGTCGATGTAACATTTTAGTTGAGTTAGTCGATGTAACATTTAAGTTGAGTTAGTCGATGTAACATTTTAGTTGAGTTAGTCGATGTAACATTTAAGTTGAGTTAGTCGATGTAACATTTAAGTTGAGTTAGTCGATGTACATTTTAGTTGAGTTAGTCGATGTAACATTTAAGTTGAGTTAGCCGATGTAACATTTAAGTTGAGTTAGTCGATGTAACATTTTAGTTGAGTTAGTCGATGTAACATTTAAGTTGAGTTAGTCGATGTAACATTTTAGTTGAGTTAGTCGATGTAACATTTTAGTTGAGTTAGTCGATGTACATTTTAGTTGAGTTAGTCGATGTAACATTTAAGTTGAGTTAGTCGATGTAACATTTTAGTTGAGTTCGTCGATGTACATTTTAGTTGAGTTAGTCGATGTAACATTTAAGTTGAGTTAGTCGATGTAACATTTAAGTTGAGTTAGTCGATGTACATTTAAGTTGAGTTAGCCGATGTAACATTTAAGTTGAGTTATTCGATGTAACATTTAAGTCGAGTTAGTCGCTGTAACATTTAAGTTGAGTTAGTCGATGTAACATTTTAGTTGAGTTAGTCGATTAACATTTTAGTTGAGTTTGTCGATGTAACATTTTAGTTGGGTTAGTCGATGAAACATTTTAGTTGAGTTAGTCGATGTAACATTTAAGTTGAGTTAGTCGATGTAACATTTTAGTTGAGTTAGTTGAGTTAGTCGATGTAAAATTTTAGTTGAGTTAGTCGATGTAACATTTAAGTTGAGTTAGTCGATGTAACATTTTAGTTGAGTTAGTTGAGTTAGTCGATGTAACATTTTAGTTGAAGTCGCGTTTATGCACGAGTTGTACTTTATATTTTATTTTCCTTTTGTTGTTGTCTATGTTGTACATATCAATGATATAGACATCGACGTTGCCTGTACAACATTGATAACAGCTGTTTACTTTGATGATTGATTTTTTATCCTTGTAGATAAGGTTCATCGTATGATGACTACAAACAGTAAACCACGAAAAGATATTGCTATTTATACGAATTTTTCTGTTCTTGTTTTTTTGTGATGTCCAACCGTTGAAGTCGTGTGATGAAATTCTTGTGATTAGAATCATTTAAAGATATTGATTATAATATTTTGAAACGGCCCTTAGTTTCTTGATTGTTAAAATCTCGTGAATAAACAGCAGAATACCTATTAATTCAATAGTGATATTTTGCTTTTAAAATCATAAACCTCTTTTATTTCGGTCCATTGTTTTGAATTATGATTGTAGTGATGTGTCCGATCGTCCGTTTTTATTGTTGTTGTCGTTATTATCATTGTTGTTATTGTTGATGTTCTTCTTTTTCCTTCCTTCCTTCCTTCCTTCCTTCCTTCTTTCTTTCTTTCTTTCTTTCTTTCTTTCTTTTTTCTTTTTTTCTTCTCCTAGGGCAATTAATAATCAAAGATTTCAACAGTTAATATCCTAAACCTGATATCGCTGCAATTTTCTCTCGCCCACTGACTGTCACACATTACAGGTTCTCATTTCAACGTCACATACAATGCATGCTCTTAGAGAAAATCATAAAATATTCTCAACGTGACAGATTAATGAAAAATCAACAAGTAATTCGGAACACCACTATCAATTTCTTCGAAATTGCTTCAACAATCTCGAGGCGACTTATTCATTTCTCGACAATTATGATAATTTTGTTATCAAGGCAAGATCTTCAATCAAAATTAACAGAAGCTAATTGGATTTTAAGCCTTTTTACATCCTTTACTTAAAAACTGCAGATACCTTTTTAAATGATTGAAATGATTTTCTTTTTTAAGAAAGCTAACCCTTGAAATTATATTTCAACTTACAGGGGACGCTGGAGTTAAGGGTGAAAAAGGAGAGTTAGGACCCAAAGGACATTTAGGTCCAATGGGGCCTCCAGGACACAAAGGTTTGTTACCGAATATTTACTGAGATTTTTCCTCAAAACATGTAACTGTCAAGGAATTTAAATGTATTTCAATAAATATTGATGTAAATTTCATATATGTCTCAGAAACACCAAACAAAAATCAAAGTGTAAACAGAATCACAATCCAAATTTAAATTCAATAAAACTAGGAAAAATATGAAAAAAATAGATATTCATACAGACACTCCTGAAAAAGTACAAAAATAATAAACTCACAGGTTTCGGATGAGTAAGCGTCTTCTGCATCATCAACGGCATCTGCCATGTACATCTTGGTCGATCCAAATATGTCACATCCCCAAATGAGAACAAGGCATATAACAATGGAACCAACACAAAGAAATGAAATATTCTCAATGAAATCATTGTGACAACTGTAAAACTGACCTATAACTATCACCAACCTGCATCTTTGCGGTGTTAAAAAGTACTAGGACAAGTGTTCAATTTTTGTATTTTCGTCTTCTAAATAGATCTTTCTATATTTGGTTTTATTTTTCACGAAATGCTCGTCCGTATAGTTCACAACCATATATTTCAAACAAGATGTATATCATTACCTAGTAAAATACAAAGCTACAGTTGTACAGGGCGGCGACATACAGCGTTCATAACTATATCAAAAATGACTACCCAATATCTGTTTTGTTGTGTAAAAATCTTGACACTTTGTAAGAATAATGAAAGGCTTTCAAGCACATAGATAATCTGTTGTATGGAAATGAAATGGTGGTGTGACGATTCATTCATATGGTCCTTTCATCTGAAATAGATTACATTACTGGTGTGACGGTTCATACATATGGTCATTTCGGGCAATTGCAATTATTGTTCTATGAAAACGAGAAGGACCGGAAGGTGTATTGCCGAAAAATATTTTCATTGTCCAATTATATGCCGTGTTACATCTGGAGTCAGATTCAGGTAGACTATATGTTATGACAGAACATATGTAGAATAATTGGGTTTTACTATAGTGTGTTCATTGGTGGTATTAAGCTATTGACGATTCATTTCTTTGTATCTCATTTCTCAGGATTACCAGGAAGCAAAGGAGATGAAGGCAGAAGAGGCAGAAAAGGAGCACGGGGAATGACTGGCAAGATTGGGCTACAGGGGCGGCACGGTAGTCCCGGGTTACCGGGAAAGAATGGACAGAAAGGAGAAAGGGGCGATAGAGGTTTTCAGGGCAACGGTAGCAACTGCTCATGTATGTAAACATAAAGTTTAATTATTCATCTGTCATAATCATTTAATTTCATGTACATGTAAATATATTATCGTTTAAGTCTGTGTTTCTCGTATGATGTGTTTCACAATTATCTATTTGGAGTACAGTTTTCAATTTTATTAACCTCCTGAGTTGATGAGTATATAAGACTAAATGGAAATTACCTACAATGAAAAAAATACTATATAGAATGTACGTCATCAAAGCACCGAAATCAATTATTTATACGAAAATGTTCTTCCTTATTAATGCTTTTTAAAACTGGGTCACCAAATAACGTTCCTTGATATCTAATTATGTTTGTGAAGTAGAACAAACAGACTGATACAACAATATTTATTATTAGTTTAAGGAATTATTGAAATAATAGGAACGTTGTAATAAATATACAATTTCAATATATACTAACATAAATTTTAAAACAAGTCAAAATGTATCATAACGTTGAACTTCACTGGCGAGGATACCATCTGAACGGTAAAAAGGTTGTACTAAAGACACACAAGTGAATTGCAACATTTCATAATTTAGAGTTAGATACAGTTGAGTCAAACAATGAATTAAACTGCATCATACAGATGTTTCGTCCTTCTATGACTCGTCAGTGAAACTTAGGGTAGAAGATTTAAAGCAACTAAGAAAAATAAAAGTTATCAAGAGAAAAGTCAAAATTTTAGTTGGAAGGCGCAGCATCCCTTTAATTAGATAATTTCGTAATTTTCATACATCAGAAAGTTTTAAAGCCTTATAAGAGAAAACGTATCAGCAGCGGAGGGTACTCAAACAAAACAAAAGCATAACACATTCTATAGAAAAAAAAATATATACAGATGGACAAAATTGAATAAATGACAGGAAAGAAAATCATTCTCTGTAAAATATCTTTCCCGAGTTTGTTTGACATAGTTGAATACCCATACATATTGCAGGTCCGAAAGGTGACAAAGGTGACAAAGGTGTGCGGGGCCTAATTGGTTTTACTGGTTACAAGGGTGACAAAGGTAATATATAATTATTGTGTCATTCTATCATTTCTACTTTGACAGATGATAGATGACAATATCACAAACCAAACTCTCGCAAAATGTGTTTACAACTATGTAGATACATATATAATGTAGTTACATTAAGTTTCCTTTCTTTAAACTTTACGTATAACAAATACTGTTATAGAACACATAACGTGTGTAGTTTGGTTACGTGCATCTCGACTGGTAAGCTGGTTCTTTTCAATAGCCTAGATTAAATATTTCATCATAAAATTTTCAATCAAAAATCTTATTTTGGGATTCATTTATATTACATAATAATATGATAAACTGATTGAGATTCCCAAAGATCGATGCAGATCAATTAAGTTACATTAGGCTATGTAGGAATGGTGATATGCGTTTTCTTTGTTTCTTGATATCGATTTTCATTGTATTTTTCATTGTGTTATGTAAAGGATTTTGCTTTATATTCTATAATTCAACATTAGGTTTTTGTTTACAAATCTTCTAATTTTCTCATTCCTGCTTCTGAAATCGACCCGCGATTTAATTTGTCAGAAGTTAATACTACAGAAACTCTATTAAACTTTATTGATTTATGTCGAATATGAAACTTTAAAACAATATATCAACATTCAATCCCTACTCCTTGATAATCTGATCATTATTTGGAAGTCCCTTAGAAATTAAATTCTTAAAAGTCTCACTGTCTGTTACATGTAAAATGATATAATGAGTTATTTTTACTATTTACTTCAGGCGACCACGGGAACAAGGGAAATAAAGGTAGGCTATATCAGCAATGTTTTTTCATCCAGAATTTTCATGGTATGTTACGTGAGTTTTCTAGGGGAGTGATCGCATTTACAAATATTCTACTACTTCTTTGTGTGATTTGAATATTTAAAGCTGGGCATGTTTGATGCTCGTTAGTTTGCCTATTGGTTGCGTTGTTGTATAACATGTTCTCATTTGAGAATGTGACATTACTTACTTGGATTGACCAAGATTTACGTTTACATAAATGTAGACATAGCTTATGTCGTCGATGTAACGGAAGACACTTCTCTTCCGGAACACGTGGTCATATTCTTCTTGTACTTGTTCATTAGCCTCCGTGTCAGTCTTTCCTTTGTTAGTATCTATTATTCATTGAATTTGAGTTAGGATTATGATTATGCTGACATGAAATGAACATACGGCGCCGCATTATCTGGAAGTTGTATGCGGAACACATTCTTAGTCTAAATATACCAGCGCTAAATTGAACAAAATTGTATATGTCCTGAAAGCGTATTCAACACTGAGTGAGTAGACTACTGTCTCATAGTTTTAACACGTCTGACAGAGTTCGTGACTAACTTGTTTAAAAAGCGTAATTTGTTAAATGTTCGGATATCATGTCTTCATGAAAACCCCAAAATCAAAGTTAACAGTTTCAGATCTCGATAGACCGATTATAGTAAATGAGTACATTAAAAATGTCCTGGGAAGATTCTATAACAAGGATGTTAGAAAGACTATCTTTCATTAGTTATTGGTGTTATATCCTTTCTGTAGACTTCTTTGTCTGAAGGTATCAAGCTGATCACAATCCGTGAGACATTCAAACTGCTTTATCGGTTAATAAATCATATTCAGGTTTATACATTTAACAACTCATGGTGCACATAACCTACGTCCATTTTTCACTTTTAAGATATTTCAGTGTGGTAATTAATTAAATATTACTAAAACTGATGTCAAAGAAAAAGGAAAATATATATTGGTTGAATGATGCATTTTCATCTAGTTAGTCTTTATTTGTTTTCAATTTATTTAAAGGTAAATATTACAAAATGCAATTAATGCATTCTCTCACTCATTTAACAAAATAGCAGAGGATTTTTTTGTGAATTAATTATTAATGCATGTATCCATATATAACAATTGTTTTCGTCTTAATGGTATGGGGTATATTTACAGTACCATAACATTTATGCATTGTAGATATTCATCAAGAAAATAACTTTATATATGTCAATAATTAGAAAAACATTCATGAACTTTTGTCATCTTGTAGGTTATGGGGAGAGGGGGTTTCCCGGTTTTCAAGGTATTCCGGGTCCAAAGGGAGAAAGAGGCGAGAAGGGTGAGAAAGGAGACGGTGAGTTTCAAACAAATCGTAAGCAGTAGAAATTCGGAAAGTTTTTCGGATTGTTTAAACCAGTGAAGGGTGTTAACTTAGAAAATTATTGTTGTAGTCTTCTCCATAACAGACGTATTATAATTTATAATGATTGGCATGGCGTGTGACAATTTCGATACAGATGTATCGCCAACGTTTTTATAGATTGATTTCATAAAGGTATTAATTATTTTTCATTGTGTTTGTAATAAATTTGTATAACGGTTTTATCAACATATGATATTTATAAAGAGCAGCACCAGTTTTTCACATTTCAAACTTTTTGCAGTATTCTCTTCCGTAGCCATGGACAACTGGCGGATGGCTACTGCAGTGCCCTCTGTGACTTATAGAGGAGGTGAGCAACTTATTTAAGCAAACAATTGTACAAGATGTATGTACAATGTATGTCTATACTTTCCGATTTGTATATGTATACAATTAGTTAAGTGTTTAACGTTGTTCATCAATACATGTCTATATTTCAGTAGTTAAAGTTAAAGGAGTAGTTTGATGGAATTGAACGCTGAAACGTCTTTCCCAAACGCTGCATGAGTATAGTGTAAGCAGCTTTAGAGTCAGGTGTCTTTCCCAAACGCTGCTGGAGTATAGTGTAAGCAGGTTTAGAATCTGGCGTCTTTCTCAAACGCTGCTGGAGTATAGTGTAAGCAGGTTTAGAATCTGGCGTCTTTCCCAAACGCTGCTGGAGTATAGTGTAACCGGCTTTAGTGTCAGATTACTTTCTCAAACGCTGCTGGAGTATAGTGTAACCGGCTTTAGTGTCAGGTTACTTTCTCAAACGCTGCTGGAGTATAGTGTAACCGGCTTTAGTGTCAGATTACTTTCTCAAACGCTGCTGGAGTATAGTGTAACCGGCTTTAGTGTCAGGTTACTTTCTCAAACGCTGCTGGAGAATAGTGTAAGCAGCTTAAGTTTCAGGTGTCTTTCCCAAACGCTGCTGGAGTATAGCGTAAGCGGCTTTAGTGTCGGGTGTTTTCGCAAACGCTCCTGGAATAAAGTGTAAGGCAGCTTAAGAGTCAAGTGTCTTTGATGGTGAAAGAGTATTGCACGAAATGTGTTGTTCATCTTTTAGTAGTAAATTGAAAACAACGAAAGTTCGTAATTTCTTATGTAAAGTTTCATGTACATGTTATCAAATCCGTCATTTTATCACTTCTTTTTCACTATAGCAACATTATTCCATGTTCGCTCTACATTTGCATTATTCTCCGTGCCACGTCTTAATTTCATAATAGTGGTACGGTTTAAAATATACACACGTACTTGTGTACTGTTGAAATGATATAATAATGAAATATTGCGCATAAAAGACACACAAGTGAATACTGTCTTAATTACAATTTTACATTAATGAATTAAATTCCATCATACGGTTGTTTTGTCCTTATTGGACTCGCCAGTGATGCTACATCATACAGTTGTTTCGTCATTTTTGGACTCGCCAGTGATGCTACATCATACAGTTGTTTCGTCATTTTTAGACTCGCCAGTGATGCTACATCATACAGTTGTTTCGTCCATTTTGGACTCGCCAGTGATGCTACATCATACAGTTGTTTCGTCCATTTTGGACTCGCCAGTGATGCTGAGGGAAACTCCTGTTTCTGTGTCTTTTTTAAAGTCTTTGATGATATTTTGGCGGTTAAAGTTTAGTGGTAAAAGGTTCATTTTGTAACCTTCGAAGTTAATCAGAACGCAATCCTGATAGAAGAGTAGAATAACTACATCTTAGAGGTTTCGGGGATGAATTCACATGATCTCTGCACACTTCGGTCTGATTTATAAAAGATTGATCATCCCTTTCACCCCTGGAAACCTTGCTTTAACCATTGACTGTAGTTTTAGGGAATAGTAGAGATATGTTTTACAGGAAGTACTTTGCTCATAATCTATTTTTATTGTTGTTAAATATATGAATTTAAGAAAGTTAAAACTCATTGCTGTTGTTTTCTTTCCAGAGAGAACCCCATCTTCAACTAAAGGTAATGTTGCATTTAGTCTATCGTTAGTTCTAGTCATCGCAGTATCAGTTAACGCCTATCACATGTTCGAGGGTCGTTTTTTATAGCAATTCATGGGACATACAAGAAATTATAGTAAATTGTATTCCGATTTATTTCTATGTCATATATTTGTATCGGAAAGACAAAATGTTATGTCTAGTTTATAAAAATAACGCTCCTGTTGAAATTTCTTACTTTAGGCTCCCTTCAAGATACAGTATCACATATTGATACTGTAAACAATAAGATGTGTTATAGATGTCAAGTCTTCAAGATCAGTTGTCTCTCACATAATAGGCAATAAAATATACATTGTAATCTAAAGAATTGGTATACTTCTTGTGACATAACACCAGTTCTGCATTGCAATGGCTATGCTTTTTATGAAGTCTTTATTAATCTGTTCAATATATCAAACGGGTATATTGTCTCGGCGTTCTCTAAGAATAGTGTTACATTCATCCACACACCTAAATTCTTTTAGACGGATTTGGCGAGTGGATGAACGATCACAAAAGGTGTATATATTCTGTATTCTAATATATCGAATAGATGGACACCAATGATATCGTAATCATCAACGTGAAAAACGTGAATGGAGTGAAGGTAGCATGCAATGATTAGTAAATTTCATTCCTGTCTATTGTATCCTTGTTGTACCTTTCGAGATATGATTTGATAGGTTTGACCTAACAGGATTGTCTTAGCAGTACATGTTTGAACTGTATGGTAAGTGATACGAATCAGTGCCTGAAAAGTGCAAGTATTTCAGCTAATCATTCTTTCGTTTTTTAAACACGATTCTGTTGTATTCAAACTCGCCAGATCTACTGCGATAATGAATTACTGCCATTCTTTCTGAGTAGACAGCCTAAAACACCACTTCTCGTAATCACTTTATACTGCCTAATTAACGTCTTCTTAAATATAACAGAAAGCGAATTAAAGAAAGAAGCAATCTATTTCTGAAACTGAATAGAGTGCATGTGTCGCATCATTTGTAACCTGCTTCTTAAGCGAGTACCATTGAACTTCCTACAGATCCACGTTGTTCATGTTTTATCACTGCATCATCTGTCGTCATATCACACGGCTGCTCGCGTTCAGTCTTCCTGTATATTTTTACGGCATAAGGTCACTGTGACTTTCAGCAATGCAGAGTAACCATGTTTTTTATGTTGAAAACCATGCAAGCTTCACCACATGCTTACACGAACTTCCGTTTTGTATACTTAGAAATTAATAACTATTTTTGACAGAGAAAATAAAAATAGATTTATTTATGGTATCACATACGGAACATATTCAATTACATCATTTGAAAAAGTTCTTTCGAAAATGAGATTGGACAACTGGATACCGTAAGGGAGAAATTAATATTCACAATTCCATTAGTCATATGTATGATACCATTAAATGGTTCCTATATAATTTCATAAAATTGATTAGTTTTTGTAACGCGTGCGTGATTGTGATCAGTTTGAACCTTCAGAATTATTTGTCATTGTCAATGAGAGTTGCAGGCAAAGACAAATTTTATCCCAAAACATAGTATTAGCTAATGGTGTTATCATAAATTTGCTTTTAAAGGTTCTTCTGCGTTAGACAATTATATATCAAACAACATATATTCTATAAAGATATCATATTCTATTAAACTTTTAGTCCGAAGAAAGTGTAGATCAATTATTTTGATTTATCTATGAAAAAAAAAAGAAATGTCATCTAAATAACTTTTGATTTAAAGATAAATACATGCAGTTTTATTGTTAAATGGGCCCGGTAACTAGTTCCGTTCTATACTTGTCATAGTAAATCCTTGTTTCGTTCAGCAAGGTATCGGTAGAGTGGCCTTACTAATTGAATATTAAACCATTTTTTCTAGGTGATCATTCTTTTGTATGGTTTGAAAGAGACATACATATCCCATACGTTTGATAAAATTGTATTTATGTTTTCAGGAGAAATAGACTTGAGGGAAATCAAATTTAAGATTTCTTCTTCGGCATTTACATGCGACGGTTACTTCTTTGTTATCTCTTTTTTATCTTGTGTCTAGATAACGGATAGAAAAATGGACATTGTATACATCCATTCTTTCCAGAATAAATTTAGTTAATTTGCCGTATATCCGATTAACGGCATATCTCATCAATACATTTAGTCAGCAAGCAACAGACATTGTCAAACGGTTACATGTACCATAGGAGTACCATTGTCATATTATAAGTCAGACTACAATGATATAATGATGTCGTTACTGTTACATTGTTACGTATGGTAGAAATGATGACGTCCACAACTAGTACTACGACCACGCCCACTACAATGACTACACCCACAACAACCACGCCCCCCACCACGACAACAATGGCACCGCCCACTCTGGCGCCCAGACGACGAGGTGGTATAATAAACAAGCATTGTACTGCCCTCCAAATGCATGTGGAAAAGTAACTGTTATGACACATGTAGAAATGATAACGTAGCATTTGTACACGCAAAATACAGACAAACGAATTTTAAAAAATAACACACTCTGAATCTTAGAGAAATACGTAAATATGATTTGAAATAGGTGTTGGTTTTGATGTTTCATTTAAACCAGTCTTCAAACAATCTGAACATTCGACCAAACTACATACTGAAAAAATCTTATTTAAGATGAGAACCCAAGCTTAATCAACATGCAGGAGGGAAAATATATGCCATATCTTTGTATAGTACTGCGTGCTTTAAAATGCTACGTCATTGTAACGCCTAGTTTCATATCCTATAATCAAATATTGGAATCATACATACTAATTGTTAACAATTGAATGTTATTTCTTCTTCCTAATCCACTGCAGGCTCCCCATGGAGTCAAACCGGTGCCAACTCATCTGCCTTCCACATGACGTCATCACCGGAAGTGACGTTTTTGTCTTTGGTGATGCTTATCGTCAGTCTTCTAATGACGATTGCCCATTGTATGTTAGAAATATTTTATAATAAAATTGTTTAATGTTGTGAAATTGTGTTGAAGTAAAACTTATTTCTGGATTCCATCATTTTTTTTTATTTTATTTTATTGCTTCTTTGCTTCTAATTTTTCACATTATTTTTCAATGCGTTTACCAATATAGTCGTTTTTTATTCAGGCTACAAAAGTTTGCATCAAACTAAATAGAAATAAATAATTTCATTAAAAAATACAGGCTTGGATCCAAGTAATGCATGTTTGGAACATTTCTTGTTGATGCTTGTCAGTCTTGCTTACGTTTCCTTTATCATGATGATTTTCTGTACATGTCCTCACCATGTTAGAACGTACATATCGCGTTATGTGTTAGTCGCCTCCAGTCCCGTTACAAATCAATGTCGTATCTCTCCTGAGTTAGGTCATGTTTATCCTATATTTTGATAACTTTAAGTTCATTCATGGAAGTGTTTTTAAAGATAACTTTACCTATATTCAATTTTTATAACATTTAATATCGAATCTAAGTGATAAACAAAATATGGCGTAGTGCGCAAAAGAGAAATAATTCATGGCATAATTTAAAACTCATACGATGATTGACTGATTTGCAATTCCTGACTGTGTTTAAGATTTGAATACATTGTATAAATGCTCGTTTATAAATAATACATCTTCAAAGATGAAAATTACGGAGACAGACATTGATTTTATAAACAATGACAATGCATAGCCATAGTGAATTCGTTAAACAAAACAGCATGTGTTGGAACATATAGAGGATAGTGTAGATTAGGTCAAATAGACTCTTAGAAGGCATAATGACCTACTCGGTCTCACCAATATACATATATTGTTAGATTGCTATGTAGAATTTTCTTTAAGACACTGCCTTGTTATTGTCTATTAAAGCATGGACCCGCATGTGTGAACACCAGTAATCAAAATATGACAAATATGATACTTGATTTATCATTATATATAGTAATAGTTGTTGAAGATGGGCCAGTTATATCAAACATGGCATATAAGAATGGCTCTTTGTTTTAATGTTCAAAACCTGGGTCACTCGCCACAACATTCCACTAAACGTTACTTGAATTAACATACTATGTTAATGCTGGATATTTTACACTGTTTGTTCTCCCTTTTCGTTTTGTTATATTTATGTAGATTTGTTTGGTTAATTTCGTATTTGCAATGCATTTTGTTATCCCTCAGGCGTCCATTTTCCTTCGTCTGAATACAATATGCACGGAGAAGATTTCCCTTCGGAAGTGTAATTGAAATTTATGCAAGGATATTTAAACATGAAATTCTTTTAGCATAATTAACTACAAACAAATGCAAAATCAATTCGCAATGATATTAGTTGAAAACTAAGCTAAAGAGTAAAAAGTGCCTGAGCTGGGATTTAGAGTCGTTATTCAGCGTAAGTATGCTTGTCAGGACAAGACAAGGCCAGCCAATAACTTTATCCATAGCACAAATCTAAGCAATTCGTAATCTCAGGCTACCATTCTTCTTTATTAAAGATCGAATATTGCGTTTATCGCTGATTTCTTGCATAGTGATCCAAAATTTCTAACAAGATAAAAGTGAAACAAATTACCCAATCTAAGTGACTCAACTTGAAAAAGTGAATTGTACCTAGCTAGAACTGGTAAAGCTAAGATCACGTAAAAAAAACTGTCTTTCTATTTTTTTTTCTAGTCTTAAAACTATCATCTGATCGTAACCAGCAGTATGTGTAAATTAACACTAGAACTGTAGAACTATGGCAAATTTTAAATGGTTGTATTTTTGAGGATGATGAGCTGAAAAGCTCAAGGACACTAAAATAACTTGAACTATAATTAGTGACGTTAGTTCATCAAATTCACCTGTTAAGTCGAGTTTTCTTTACTAACTTCTACAATTCCAAATTTTAAAATAACATTTCATAAATATGATAAAGACAAATATACTGAAGGTGTTCGACTTTACACATGTGCATACGGCCATGCATGTCAATAGCTACCCAGCTTCACGCATGCCTTCATATTAATCTGAGTACTATTTCTTTTTTGTGTTTGATAAATTTATCTTAATCTGTAGATGATATAATGAAACGGTTTATTTTTGGCAATGAAAACAAATTGATTGACAAATTGGTTGATATCAACTTTAAGATCCGATTTATATACTTGAAGTGTACAAATGTGAATATCGAATCAATTTTCTTCTTGCAGAATATGCAAAATAATACTTTTACGTTTCATCATTTAGCATATATAAATGAATATTAATATATGTTCAAATAATAAGTTTAGTGATAAGTCTATTACTTTTGTTTCCCTCAACCAGAATGCAGGATAAAAATGATTGGGATTCCCCTACTCTTGCGTCAAGCGGGACCTGCATCCGGGGCCTGGATGACTGACCCGGATAGTTCGCCAAAACGCTGGGTGTCGAATAACGAGTATGCTAATATACTGTATGAGTACCGATCCGAGACTACATTTAAGGAGAACCGAGTAGACAATACGTATGATCTCTCCTTTTTCCACTACCATGGTTACGACCACGTGATCCGACATGGGTCTTTTTACTTCCAGTGGGCTGGGAGAAATATTGTTGTGAAATACGACCTCAAAGAGGCGATTGTATCGAGTGCGGCGGAAATAGATGGCGCTTCACACAATACCAGCAGATACCTCTACAAAAATGGGACGACTTACTTTGACATAGAGTATGACGAGAATGGTCTTTGGGTAATTTATAGTAAACTCTCGGACGACAAAAATATCTTTGTCGTGAAGCTAAATACCAACACAATGGAGGCAATACGAATATGGACAATCAACATCGCTCCTGGTAGTTACGGAAACGGCATCATTGTCTGTGGTGTACTGTATCTTATTCGGGATACCGTTAATGTGCAGACAGTTATTGACTATGCTTATGACTTGTATACTGATGAAGTTGTACCACTTGGCAAAGACATAAAGTTTCGAAATCCTTTCGGTGCAAGTAGCATGGTATCATATGTGCCAAACATTCGTCATCCCCAAAACAGTAGGATCAACAGCTGGGATAACGGAAGGCAATTGTCTTTTCAGCTTCTTTTTGTTTAAGACAAGGATAAAGAGATCTTAACAAGAGGATTGTTTCCACATGGTACCCTTAGTTTCTTATGTAAGTGATAAACACATGCGTGCATAAACTGCGTTATTCCTGATTTAAAAAGCTACACAGCTCTCAAACATATTCTTGGACCAAAGCGGAAGTACATGAGGTTAAGGATTATTATCCTACGAAGAAATTATGGGAAATCATTTTTTGTTATCAAGCATTCCATTTTTGTAATATCTCACTGTACCATTATTACTTCAGCCAGGAATACATATATAGATATAGATTATTCTTTGTCATAAGTCGCTCAATGACTTTCGGTTTGCCGAAGGCTATATTTATTATGTTTTATTCCACATTGCTTCCTAAAATGCTGAATTCAATGTGCTTTTCATGTATGATATGTATTACATAAATGAATTGAAATGATTATATCATAGTTAATCCGCAGAGAAAGTTGAATTTACATGCTGTTTTGAAGCATTATTTTAATGTACAGACGCTAAATCATTCGGAATCCAACGGATATTTTTTGTGCTTATTTCAGTTCGATTTAATTAAAACAGGAGAGTATTTGATATATGAAACATCAACGACACTCTAATAAGACAAATCTATTTTGGTCATCTTGAGACCTTACGTTAAATATGTTTTTGTGGTAAAGCATGCTATCTTTAGCAATTACATTCGATGTTGACTTTCGATTATAAGTGCAGGTTCATTACATACTCCAATCATCTGTCTGTTGAGGAGGGACCATTGTGTTAAATGTATAGGATATATTAGTTCTTAGAAAGAGTAACCATTTTTATTGTAAAGGAATTGAGAATATATTTGATATTTAACACTTCCTATATTTTGATGTGTGTTAATCTTGAATCAGAGAATGTGTTTGTATCTTTTACTAAATTTCTTTTTCAAAAGATTTCACAAAACCTAAACTTAACTTATGATGTATCTTATCATACTTTCTCTTACCGTTATTGAATGCTATTTTTTCTGGAAGGATTGTTTTGGTGGAAAAGACTTGTTGTATAATTTGATCTAAGAATGGGGAGAACGACGGGTGTGCGTATGTAGGTGTATATGTTTACAAGTATATAGAAATGTATGTAAGACTTTGCGAAGATGACCAGTCTGACGATATGCGAGATAAGTGTGGATCATGTGCTTGTAATCCATCCGATATAGCTTAATTATAGTAAATAAATTGTTACACTTTGTAGGAACGATGCCATAAGTTTCTGCAGAGCATTGCCATTCTACAGCCTATTACACTGAAAATCCTTTCGTTTCGACATGACAACATTACGATTGTTAATGCTGAAAACAAAGGTATCATAACATTTTCACAACATACATTTTCCTAATGATCTGTTGAATAACCGTTTTGTAAAATCCGACTACGTGATTTATTTACGTACACATGAGCAATGATTGTTGGAGTGACTGTGGTATTCTTTAAGAAGAAAACATTTTTTATTTGAAATACGTTGCCAATGATAAAGTTTGTATTGAGTTAGACATAGGCTGGTGTGTATATCTACCCTCGGAAACCATTGGCTACCTTTATTTGTATATGTGGTCGGTGCACCAGGAATCGCCATATGAAAGTGTCCCTAAAAACAGTATATTTTTCCTTTTCGTTAACATCTATAAATTCAAGGTGATTAGTAATATATTTGGTTCAAGTACGTAATGATCTATAAAAAATTCCTGTTGTAAATATGGTCTTTGTGTGGAATATATTGCAGTATGCTTTAAATGTGGAATTTTCCGATATCTGCATTGACAATTGGCATTTAGCATATCATTGTATATGTACATAATTAGCACGTCTACAGTGAGTATGTACTCAAATCGGAATTATGTAACTAATTGAAGTCCTTTGCAGATGAATGCGTAATATTTCATTTATGGAATCGATAAATGATAAATTTGTTTTATCGATAAACAAAACTTTATAAAATCCAAATTAAAAAGTATGTTTTTCATGTGCATCAAGAGATTAATTTTGCAAATAGTCTTAACTTTATTCTTTATAATAAATCAATTCATGATGTTTGTTTTGATACTTTCTTCATTTTATATCAGATTAACTGAACACCAGTTTTATCGTCAACATATTATCAGTTGTTGTCAATTAATCCTTTACAAATGGAAAACATGTAATCGCGGTGCAAATCATATCACTCTTACGAATACTGTTTTTGATCATCTGTTTGCGTATTGTTACTGACGATGTAAATCCTAAAAGACATGTTTGTAATCAACTGCTCGGGAAAAGCTGTGTATATATGTATATATCATTCCATCTGAAGCCAACATGCTGTTTCCTCGAATACTTGAAAACCCTTGTTATGTTAAACAGGATTACACGCTGCATTCTTTACATATTAGATTGATGAAGCGGCAGAGAAGGTCGGTAAATTGGTAAAGACTTATACTCGTCAATTGCATCAATCTTCTGTGAAATTGAAGTTGACATACTCAGCATACAAAGCTCAACGCCAGGAAGGTCACTCATATAAAAAGGATTCTCAAACCTGGAAGGGATGATAATTCCTATGAATAATTACCGTCTTGGTAGCATATAAGATCCCTAAAAATGACATACCAGCTGTCAATAGGATACCGAAATAGCCAACATGAGAATGCGATCTCAACAGCATGCTTGTATTATGTCGTTTTACATCTTAATTCTTATCTTAAAAAAATATTTAGTTTATACATTACTTATTTTGTTTGTTTTTTATTTATTTTATTTGTTGGGTTTTTTATGTGTGGTTTTTTATTATTATTATTATTTGGGGTTTTTTTTCTAAATAAATTATTAGGTATTCTAATGCATTATTTTTTCTTTCTGAAAAACGTCTATGTTATAGGATTTTTTTTAAAACTCTATTGATACATGTAATATGGTAAACAAGAATGCAGCATGCATTTAACGGTCATACTAATTAAACCACAGAAGCTGTCAACTCGGAATGAACCTCACAACATGTGACGCCAAAAAACTAGATCCGGTTTGGCGGCGTCAGAAATGGTACCCGTTTGTTGCGAATCCAGGGAAGTAAACAAGGTTTCTCGTTACTGTTTGGGAGACAATAGCCCTATATATCATATCGAAAATACATGTTTTAAATTATTCAATATTCTCTTATTCAAAATACTAGATATATTCACGTTTATTGTATTATAGCAGAACTATAGTTGAAGTAGATTGTTCATTTTATTACGTTTGACATACAACTGGGTTTAAATAATATATATGTTATGGCCCTGTTTCTCGGACTTACGAATTACAATCGACTTCGTTAGTGTATGGTTTGTGTTCTCGCTTTGTGTGACAGTGACTGGAAGCCATGAGTAAACTTTATTTCTGTATACTGTAAATATTCATCAATGGAACAATACGATTCTTTTACATTTTAGAATAACAATAAAATATTTTTGTACTCATTTTGTTCCCGATTTGTCTTTCTAATATTTAGCATGTCAATTTCACAATGAAATATGTAAATTTGTTGCGGTGAATTCAATCTGACAAATAAATGAGAAACAAAACACACACAAACCTCTCTCCCCCCACCCCCAATAAAAAATGAATAAATATATCAATATAAGCAATATACGTTTTGTTTCTAGTGCACTTTCCTGTCTAAAGTTCACTTTTTTATTAGCTGTTGATTAACATTAATGCCAGTCTCATCACTGACGAGTCCTAAAAAGACGAAACAGCTGTATGACGTAGCATCACTGACGAGTCCTAGAAGGAAGAAACAGCTGTATGACGTAGCATCACTGAAGAAGGACGAAACAGCTGTATGACGTAGCATCACTGACGAGCCTTAGAAGGACGAAACAGCTGTATGACGTAGCATCACTGACGAGTCCTAAAAGGACGGAACAGCTGTATGATGTAGCATCACTGACGAGTCCTAGAAGGACGAAACAGCTGTATGATGTAGCATCACTGACGAGTCCTAGAAGGACGAAACAGCTGTATGACATCACTGACGAGTCCTAGCATCACTGACGAGTCCTACAAGGACGAAACAGCTGTATGATGTAGCATCACTGACGAGTCCTAGAAGGACGAAACAGCTGTATGACGTAGCATCACTGACGAGTCCTAGAAGGATGAAACAGCTGTATGACGTAGCATCACTGACGAGTCCTAGAAGGACGAAACAGCTGTATGACGTAGCATCACTGACGAGTCCTAGAAGGACGAAACAGCTGTATGACGTAGCATCACTGACGAGTCCTAGAAGGACAAACAGCTGTATGACTGCATCACTGCATCACTGACGAGTCCTAGAAGGACGAAACAGCTGTATGATGTAGCATCACTGACGAGTCCTAGAAGGACGAAACAGCTGTATGAAGCATCACTGACGAGTCCTAGAAGGACGAAATAGCTGTATGACGTAGCATCACTGACGAGTCCTAGAAGGACGAAATAGCTTAGAAGGACGAAACAGCTGTATGATGTAGCATTAGTGACGAGTCCTAGAAGGACGAAATAGGTGTATGATGTAGAATCAGCAGTACGATGTAGCATCACTGACGAGTCCTAGAAGGACGAAACAGCTGTATGATGTAGCATCACTGACGAGTTCTAGAAGGACGGAACAGCTGTATGATGTAGCATCACTGACGAGTCCTAGAAGGACGAAACAGCTGTATGATGTAGCATCACTGACGAGTCCTAGAAGGACGAAACAGCTGTATGACGTAGCATCACTGACGAGTCCTAGAAGGACGAAATAGCTGTATGACGTAGCATCATTGACGAGTCCTAGAAGGACGAAACAGCTGTATGACGTAGCATCACTGACGAGTCCTAGAAGGACGAAACAGCTGTATGACGTGGCATCACTGACGAGTCCTAGAAGGATGAAACAGCTGTATGACGTAGCATCACTGACGAGTCCTAGAAGGATGAAACAGCTGTATGACGTAGCATCAATGACGAGTCCTAGAAGGACGAAACAGCTGTATGACGTAGCATCACTGACGAGTCCTAGAAGGACGAAATAGCTGTATGATGGGATATATTTGACTCTACTTTATCCAATTCTTATCAAAGTCTAGAGTCTGCGATTGATATCCAAAAGATTGAATATCCCTATCCTAAATACAAACACGTAAAAGAGTATGTTTCTCTCACTTTAAATGTGATCTGGAGGGAACGCCATTTTTTCATTTTTTCTCAGGTGAATTTATTAGAAAAGAAGAAAAAACAGCAAAATTCAAAATAGCAAACAGCGCATGCGCCCAAAAACGTAAAGATGATGCTAAACATCGATCAATATTCAAAGTCAATAACTGTGTCGTGTTTTGTCACGCGACATTTAAATTAATCAAAAAGAATCCGTCACCCAAATGTCAACTCAAGAATTACATGCACATTAAATCATAGAATTATGACACTAAAGTTCATTTTTTATTTGATCCGTTTTTTAATGAAATCGTGGATAGATTACACTATTTCTTGTAATTTCTTGTTTTCTGTAATTAGCAACCATAGAACAACTTTTCATATCAATACGCTTGCGAAGCTGTATAACTCAGACATCCTTTGCAATACACATCCAATAGACAGGAATGTATAGTCCTGTAAAGACCAATATTACATAGGTATACGTGAGACAAGTATTGAAATGTGTTATTCACTCTTGTGTGTCTTGTACAACCCTCTCTTTATGGTTTATTTCACAAGAGTGATAGAATATACCTATTGTCACAAGTTCTAAGCACCAGTGTAAAATACCGAGATATTCGTCAATCAATAACTATGGGATCCTCGGGAGGTACTGCTATCAGCCAATTAAACGCAAACTAATAAAACAAAATGTTGCATAGTTGTTGCTCTCCAGAAAAAGACATTTTCAAATAGAGCAATTGAAATCAGCACTCTCATACAGATTAGAAAAAAGCTGTTCCTGTTGAATTCGTTACAGGGAAAAAATTAATCAAGCGATTCAAGAAGAGTTTGTCGTGTCGTTGATTTCCAATTCAGGTGTGTACATGCATGTACGATAGACACATTAATTAATTTTCTTATCTAAAGTCAAGAAATTGAAGGACTTCTCATGATATTTGAGACCACTTTTGATAAGCTCCTCGATAAATTCATGGTATGAAAACAAAAAGCAGTCAGATAAAAGAGGGACATTGTTTGTTCCCATTGTATCTGTTGGAAGATCTCCAAAGCCGTCAAAAATATCGTCAACAAGAATTCCGATCATTTTACCAATTTCATCCTCCGTATTTTCACGCAACAGTATAGAATGAAAGGCGTTCCGTGTACAGAGTGGAAAAATCGAATTTTTTAAATGTGTTATACATGTGTGTCTTTTTTTTTTTTTTTTTTTGTACAATCTCCCAGGTGGTAGACAGTGGTGGAAACTGCAAATGGGCTTTTCGTCCCCATGGTTTGTTGTCACCTGCATGCCACGTTTTCATTTATTCGGTCCAGAATATACACATGTACTTCGTGTTCTTACGTGAATTACGAAATTTTATTGAAATCTGTGGTCAGTGCACCTCCCCATCTAGATATGTCTTTACTTTAGATCATTTTGTCTTTTCCTCAGTCGCTTTCGTGGCTTCAAATTTTAAGCCCTTAGCGTCATTGATGAATCTTGGATGGACGAAACAAATGTATGATGCAGTTACTTAATTGTTTAGCTCTGCTGCATCTGACTCGAAGTGTGTATCTTAAAAGTGGGTGTTCAATCTTTTTGAACTTCTTTTAAATCCACATTTCATGAAATCCATTTTCAGAGTACACAGTATCACAATGCTACTGCAACCATGATTAAATAGTACTAAGAATGGAAGATTTTATAAACTTTAAGCTGAGCAACTGGACGAGCCAATAATAAAGCATTGTGTAGATGGATTCTTGTAGAGTTTAGGAATCCAGTATAAAGAAGGGAGGTCCATATCTTTATCTTTAATTTGCATACTGATTTATTGTTATATTTAAGTGTGTTTAGTCACTATTTATTTTCTTATCGGTGGGATTTCCTCCATTCATGAGCAAGCCTACTTCTTTTTATGTAGTATGTTATAATAACTACAAACATGGACCAGGTAACGTATTATCTGGTGGCACAACAACACACCAAAAAAAGGACCGTCAGACACGGGATATGCCCTCCGAATTGGACAAAATTAAAGCATAAAAATAAAGGGAAATAAGAGAGTTATGATTCTTGCGCACTGAATTCCTCCTCGTTGAGATATATCTGCCTATGAAGTTTTATATCAATACCTCTTTTAAGGTTTGTGTTATGCTCTGGACACAAGTTATGAAGGACGAATGGATGGATGGACGGACAAAGCGTCGACTATATGTTCTACCTTCAGAAGGCTTGATAAAAAGTCAACTTTACATTTTAACCATGCACATATAAAATGAAGAAAATACCACTTTTTAAATATCTTAACTTCGGTACCATGTTCCATGAAAAATACCGTATTGCGAAGAGACTGGACAAAGGGAGATAAATCTGGATACAGATTTAGCTAAATAACAACCAACAGTTCTGATATGTGTTTTATTAAAATAAGAATTGATGTAACGTATCTTAAATACTGACATTACAACAATAAGGACAAACAATAATCAATATCACAAAAACTTACAGTATCATAAATAACTGAGACAAGAATATCAAGTAAGATATTGAAGGATTAACATTAATTATATCTAATGTTATAGAATCATGACACCAAAACGGAGCGTTCCCTAAAATCAAGAAAGGAATATCAGCATGCTAGGAAAATCATAATCCAAACTCAAATTTACTAAAACTTTGCCATAATATGAACCAAAGAAAAATTTACACGGATACTCGTTAAAAAGGTACAAAGAGAATAAGACAATGTGTTCTGGAAGAGTAAGCGCCTTCTGCATCATCGACGGCACCCTCAAGGTAAGTCTTGTTCAATCTACGTAAGTAAAAAGCATCTAAATGAATCGATTTATACATATATAATAGTCTCTTTTCAAATGATTGATTATTCCGCCGCAATGGCCAATCAAATGACACGTGACAAAAAAAAGTGTGACCTTTTATGTTATGGGGTAGTGACTTAAAAAAGGACCAATGGAAATAAAGAATCAAAATGACAAGCTTTTAATTTCCATCTAAACTTCAAAAAGCAACGTAAGAGAGTAATATTTCACCATGAGCATTGTATTGAAAACTCTGTCATAGTAAACAGTCCATCTATTAGGTAGGTGTAGAAAGCTTAACAAAATCAGAAACATGAATATAGAAATGAACTTAAAAATACACATTCGCATTATCATGAATATCAGGGTATATCAAAATCATTTAATCAAAAATAACATGAATATTGAAATGAACATAAAATACACATTCACATTATCATGTTTATCAGCCTATATCATATATATCCCGCAATACTTAAGACTTTGGTGATTTTCAATATGTATATATAGGTATTAAAGAGTAAAACATGAAGAAAATTTGTGTATCGATTCGATAATAAAAAATGCATTCAACAACTTCCAGGCCAGACGACCATTTGTTTGTATATAACTGACTATTACAATCATGGACTGTCATGCAGTAACATTGGCAAAACTAGTTATAGTATATTTATACTACACAAACTTATATCTTAAACGGCTGTGCTTGCTACCCTCAAACTGTTATATCTGACGTTGGATAGATGGAGTATAATGAGTTTTACTACATGTAACAACCCAAACAGAGACATCCCGAAATTGACATCAGATAGCCTTACAAAAATGAAATTTTTAATATCGTGCGAATTTACTCAAACAGCCAATCAACAATCAAAGCAAGTACACGAAGATGTGACTTTCATTTAGAAGTTTACCCGAATAATACAACGACAGCATGACGTACTATTGTGAGTACGATGCATTTCGAAATAGGTTCACGAATGCCCACGTGACCTGTCGACCTGCCGTTCTAATAAAGAAAATTTAGCTACTTCCCTATTTGACCTTTTCTCCAAAATTTAAAATAATTGCATCAACAATGGTTAAACCCTGTTTTTCTGTTCACTAAACAAAAACATTGTCACTTTTAAACTATAATACTGAATATGAACTTTTCACACCAAGCCGAGGCTAGATGATAAGTTTTGCTTGACCTTGAAAGTCCAAACCCTGTTATATGTTCACCAAATAGCACTGTCATAAAGAAATCACAATAAATTGTACATCAGTCATAAAAACGAGTTACCAAAGTATGACTGACCTACATAACCAGCTGGAGGTGTTCCTCAGTGGTTCTGTCTGGGCATGATTTGTAATTAATAGAATGGCTGAACTGATAGCATCAAGATTAGGTCTAGAACATTAACATCTGTTAATTATGGCACAATTTTCATGCACTTATATTTTGTCATGTTTCAATTAAATTCAATTTTGAAGTTTTATGATTTTCCTTTAATATTTATTCATTTAATAAGTTTTTAGTGACAATTTTTGTTTTTTTTTAATTTTAATCATTATTTTATTAAAAATAATTTCAATATTTTTTTAATATGCTAATGATTCAATGGACACGTACTAAGGAGATTTTCTGGTTAACTGATATTGTAAATCACGATGAGTTTTTTTAATATATTTCTTTTCAGAAAGTTGAACAAATACACAACATATTCAATTTGACTATTTTCATTTTCTAATTTTGTATATCTGGAGTTTGTTTACCTTTTTCCATGCATCAAGACCTGTCATTTAAACAGTTTTATAGTTTATTTTTTCGAAATATCATCCATGAATCTTTATTAAAAATTATTAATTTATTAATTATTAATTCACAAAAAAGGTAGGAGAGAAACATAAACCATGAACTAAGTTTAAATTTACCTACCTAGATTTTTAAAGCTTCTGAAGACATTGATATCAGGGGTTTCATGTCAGGTTTTTTTTCGTAATTGTTTTCGCGTTGAATCATTCCATCATGCTATCAAAATCTTGCCCTGCTCCTAGTCAATAGTTTGTCGCTCGTAAAAATAGAAAACCATTCCAGTAATAGCGCATTGACACTATTCATGCAAAAATTTCCAGGACACCAATTGAGGTATAACGAAAAAACAGAAATAAAACTTATACATCAATCGAATTCAGTTGATATCATTCTTCTTAACACAAATGATTCCTAATAAGAAATAAATCGTCCAAACTAAAACGTTAATCTTGCTGCAGTTATTTTATTCCTGACAATTTTACCATATCGTGAGTTTTATCGCTAGAGAATAAGTAAATATCACAGTTTGTTACCTTAATCAAGTTATTTTAGGGAAACGCACAATCGTCCATCAGTTGTTATTTATAAGTATTGATGGTTTCGTTGCTGTCTACATAGACAATGGCCTCGCCAAAATCGTCCTTATCCAACTATGTATCACTAACCCACAATATCGTAAATTTCGTCTTTCGTGTCTTCTGCAGTTTCCACTGGTATTGCTGGAAGTGGAATGTCTCTTTTGTTTCGCACTTCAGGAGAAGTAACTTTCGGGGAAACTTTTGGCAAACCTGGGGACCCCAGCACCTTTTCTAAATCAAGTTTTTTCTTTAATGCCTGCACAGACGGATTTCCTGTTAAATAAAAAAAAACAGTTTCAATAAGCTTTCACTAAATACGCAAACACAATGACAGTGTATTCAGTGAGTATCACAAACTGAGGAAATTGACGATAAGATCTTGTGTCTCAACACGATTACTGCAATGCATTTTGTTATCAAACCAGACTTATTTGTTACAGTATAACACAGAATCCTAGCATATGAAACCAAATGACAGTTTTGTTTTCAAGCACGTATCAATTAATGAAACACTTTTATCGCAGTGTATGTTACAACTTTCAGTGAAACAACTATCCTTATTCCAAAAAATATTAGCTATCAATATTTTCATTTTGGAATCTGTTTATACATTGGAATACTTCAGCTTTTCTTTTCTGTTATTTTCTTTTTCAGGAGTAAGATATATTTACCTGACGTGTCCACACAATTGGTTGTTGTATCATTTCTGATCTTAACAGGAAATTCTGAAGCACAATAATGTATTGTGATATTAACCAGAGGTCCTGCTACTTAATCATATTTTTGTTGTTATATCTGAAGGTCATTTATCGATCGATTTTCCGATTGATGAAGTTCAACGGAAACCATTGACTATATCACAATGAATATACGACGTCTGCGTTATTGCACAACTTAATTGACCTTATGGTAATTTTGATTAGAAAACAACAATAATTGTGTAGATAACACTAAAGAGTATCCATCAATGGCTGAAAGAAAGATAAATCAATGTGTGGATATTTCAACGCAGAGAACGGAAATCAGTATTCTGATTTGTCAATTAGTGATTTTAAACAGCTAAAACGTTTCGTGTATTACAATGCACTCAACACAGTGTATATAAAATCACCCTGGTTAATTAGGGTTTTTCACAAACTATTGAAAAGACCTATTGTTTTTGTTATGTTTCTTATTCTTATCTTTATTATTCTTTTTCCAATATTGTGGGTTCGTAATCTTTGAAATTGTAAAAGCTAGACATACAGTCTATTCTATTTTTTAAGTAGGTCAAAAATCCAATATGGCCGCCATGACGTCATAACTTAAAAACATAAAAACGTCAATATCTCGAAAACCATTGATTATACAGAGCTTGTGCAATAATATTATTTGTAGAGAATTTCCTTATCTAATTTTTTGTCATGACATGTTATCAGAAAGTATGTCGAATAAAAAAAGCTCGCTGTTGGGTAAAGTTTTAAATTTTTTTTTTTCTTTTTTTCAATTTTGAATTTTCTTGAAATTTTCTTCTTCAGATCGATGCAGAACATCCTTCCGATGAATTTAGTGTTTTGTTTTTCGGTGAGTCTGTCCGATATCCAAGATTGTCGCCAAAGAAGTGAAAAGCCCGCAAAATTGTTAGCAACTTGTTCGTATCTTGAACATACGTCATATGCAAATTTGTTATTCCGTGAAAAAAATACATATTTTTGTCATAAACTCTAAAACCATTTGCTGAGGAACTAGGAGAGGAAATATGATTACAAAAAATCATTATAAAAAGTGTGGAATGTTCTGGAATCCGTTCTTCGATTGCTTGTCTATAGATGGCTAAAGGCAATAAAGTACAACAGCAGTTAAAATATTATTGTTTTCTTCTTGTAAGTTAACTGAATAGTGCCGCTTAGTAATGTTAATATAATACCACTATTAGGACATAGCGATGCGGGTGTCGAGATAACTATAATTTGTTAGTCTGTTGAAACAGAATATTCACATGCAGCTAACATATACGATTTCGGTGCAGGTTATAGGTTCGAAATCTGACAATGACAAACTATACGAATACAGTTTTCAATGTCTATTCATTGATTCCAGAGTATCAATATGAAATTTGTTGCGTTCTTTTCAAATGTTCAAATGTTTCCTTAAAGGAGTGAAAAAAATAATCAAGACTTTGAGGAGTAAAATACACAAGTTTTCTTAGAAATATATTATGATTATAACAAATGTATAAAACAAAAGAATTATGACTTTTTTCAAAAAAAGTCTCCAGCTGCTTTACCCGAAAACAGTGCCATGTCGTTTCCTGGTTGTGGAAAGGTAAAGACACTGTTTCTTTAAACTACATCTTATTCGTGGAACTGATATTTGAGAGTCTATCGATCACGTCAAAGGAAAGGAGTATCCGATGTGTTTTATCTATTACATTTATTTTCAATGTTTAAAGAGAAATGGAAACCAATCTTATCTATTACATTTCTCTTTAATGTTTAAAAAGCAACGAAAACCAATTGCCCATTCAAAACAATTCTAGCTTAACTTTTGATATTCCTGACCCCGATGCTCTTTAACCTACGGCAATATGAACCAAGGTCTCTTCATCCTGGTGCTCTTAACCTGCAATTTTTATTTCTTCTACATAAAGCAATGACTTGTTGTTTGGCAGTGTTGATTCCGCGTATCATCGCGTTCGTACTGATTTTATTAGCTATCGAGAAGAAAACAGGAAGAAAACACAAGGAAAGGATATTTCTTTTATAGAAACGACATCCGTCGACATATATTGATAGTGTTATTAAACGAGTGCCTGGTATCTTCAAACAAAATTCAGCACAAGTATATGATAATTATCATTTGTAATTTCAAATACATTGTTCAGTTATACAATGTATCTTTTTTGTATCAATACTTCTAAGATGTTTATCCCTTTCTTGCGAATTATGAAAATTCTTGTATACAATTTGTAATATAGAAAATGTTAACCTACAATTTTTTACCTATGCTTCCGTGTCATCGTATTATAGAACTAAATAAGTTAAACAGCGGTAGCGTATCTCAACATGTCTGCTATTTTCTAAATGATTTTGTATGTTCTTTATAGTGTTAGCATATAAGATGTATAAAACCACATAAGTGCTGCCATGTGTTGGAAAACCGGAAACAATGGCAGTTACAATTCTTACTCTGTATTTTAGTCCTTTTGTTCATCGCTTCGGCATTCTATTTCCGGTTCATCGTACAGTGACGATGATACATATTGGTTGATAATCAGTGATATTTCATAAAAAATCAAAATCAGTTAGATATGACAGCTACTTATCAGCACTCTTCATTATGGTTATTTTCTCCCTGATATAATTTTGTTTTCTTTCTTCGAGGTCAACACATTAATAGTTAATATAACCTTTATCTTACTATAGTGCAATAATGAGATCTAATTTTAACTAAAGGCACACGTTTTGAGATCAGACATGCCCACAACATTAAGCAAAACTCCATGCTCACCTTGCTGAGTATTGACATATTGACTAGGCTCATGGAAGCCCGGTATTCTAGTGACGTCACTCACAGCAACATTGACGTAAGAGTCATCCATCTGATCATTCCTATATTTTTCCTCCTTTACTTCGTTTACGTAAAGTTGACCAATCGCAGAAGAAACGTTTCGTGACGTGTGCACTGGTGGTGAATCGGCTGGTACATAAGAGTTAGTGTTAAATACAGAAGAGGGTTTGTTGACAGAGAGGAAACACGTGTAATTAGGACATTCAGTAGCATAGTCATCCAGGTTAAGAAAATGTCGTGGTTTTAGAGGAGTAGATATGTAGTTAGTACATGGAAAAGACTGCAACTTTAACTAGTACTTTATAGTAGTACTGTTGATGGATGGCATAATGCATATATGTGAGTGTGTGACTGTGTTGGGAGGCATATGTTTTTAAGGGGTGGGGGTATCGACAATCTATACTAAATTCTGTTATTTCTACACAAGATAGATAGTGTTAAGACGGTGTATCAACAAATAAACATAAATTAATGACTAATGTTACAAACTACGTGTTGACAATGTGAGCCATGTCCATTGGTGAAAATATTTAATTTTGTATTTTTCAAAGATAACTGTGTACATTTTCCTTTTGTTACCCTTGGTTTACGTTTTGAATTAAAATTAAGATGTATATGAAATATCTTATTTCAACAAAAAATATGAATTTTATATGTTTCATCAACCTTTTTATTATTAACATCATCATGATATAAGGCATTTTGGGCTACAGGTTGTTAATTTGTTAATATTACTTTACAAGCTGGATACCACAAGTAAAGGTGCATTGAAAAGTATGTTTTACTTGTATGTATTTGATAAATTGAAACAATGTTCATCAACTTTTACATAATCTACACAAATGGAAATATTGGTGTTTTGGAAATTTTCAAAATATGTATCAACACGTGAAAATATTCACTTGTGGTGAGGATTCAGTAGATTAATAATCCGTTTACTGAATTTAATAGCTTCATTCTATATCCTAAATTATACAGCATTTTTACATATGCAAGCAATACATATATTAGCTTTCCTTTTTCCTGAAAGCTCTATTTTATCACTGGGGTACATAATATATATGCTCTATAATGTTTGTTAAATACAAAAGAAACGTTTAACAGCAAAAACCTATTTTACGTTCTACATGCGGTACAAAACGAAGTGAATTTTCTACATTTAAAACGGTTCGAAATATTGGCAAGAAACCTGACTTCATACGATGACCAGAGCATCAAAATCGTGACTAAACACGATTACTAGAACAGCAAAATCCTGACTTAACACGATGACTGGGACAGTAAATCCTGACTTAACACGATGACCAGAGCATCAAAATCTTGACTAAACACGATGACTAGGACAGTAAAACCCTGACTTAACACGATGACTAGGACAGCAAAATCCTGACTTAACACGATAACTGGGACAGTAAAACCCTGACTTAACACGATGACTAGGACAGTAAAATTCTGACTTAGCACGATAACTAGGACAGTAAATCCTGACTTAACATGATAACTGGGACAGTAAATCCTGACTTAACACGATAGCTGGGACAGTAAATCCTGACTTAACACGATGACTGGGACAGTAAATCCTGACTTAACACGATAACTGGGAGAGTAAAATCCTGACTTAACACGATGACTAGGACAGTAAAATCCTGACTTAACACGATGACTGGGACAGTAAAATCCAGACTTAACACGATAACTAACACAGTAATGTATTACGATCCCAGGAACAGAAAACAATTGTTGATTTCGTTTCTTTATTGTTAGCTTACCGATTTTCCTTTTCGCAAATTCGATTTCTCCAAATTTTCTAGTGAGCGTTCCCACGCCACCAGGACGAGAGTCATCTATCTCTGATTCAACAGGTTTTGCTTCCGCCCGATAACTTCCGGAGTCAAAACTTGCACTCGACTTTGGGGGGACGGACTTAGGTGGATGTCGTTGAATCATGGAGGTAGACACTGACCATGAGATACCCCGGAAATTGATATATTAAGGTTTTGTCCTCATCTTAATTTTCAATTTCATATATATATGTACGTTTATATTTTGTCTTTGATAACGTGAGATATTTCGGAAATGTACAAAAATATAATTTTCGAATGATCCGGCCGTGTGGATCAGTTTCATACGTAAGATTTATGTTAGCAACGCTAATGGTAGATTTGTTTATTAGCCTATCAACCTAATTCAGACAAATTTAATCATCTTTCCATCTTATTTAGGCCAATCTTTATTTTCTTTAAACGTCTCATAGGTCCAACACATTTGGCAATTAGCATCATTGAGAGGTCATGGAGGAACGAAACGACTGTATGTTTCATTTATGATTTTGCACCACTATATCCAATTTCAAAACAATGAAAATGCTATTCATATCCTTATAGTCATACGTACAAAATCTCTTTTAGGAAATAATTTAGAAGCTATTAGTGAATTAAATAGTCTACATATATTGAAAACTACCAAATGTATTATTGCATGCATTTCGCGAAGCAAAATAGTGAATATTAATACATCTATTATACGGAATGACCGACAAAAGAGGCCTCGGTTCAAAAATCGAATATAAAAACCTCTTTTTCATTATTCAATAATACAATTTTAAAATTAAAAAACTGTGCTATTTACATTCTGTTTTGCTTCTTTTCATTTTAACGGCATTATTTTCTAAAGTTTCTTACAAACAAAAATATTGACGTGGCAGATCATGCATAACTCAAACAATTCACGTCAGGTACAGATTGGATTGTGTGGAAATGTTACAAGCATCAAAGTCGATATATTTTGTTTTGACAAGTCAAAGTGTTATCTTAAGAAGCATTGGCCTTACCTCTGATATCAAGTGGACTTTGTGGCTTGGGTCTGAGTTTAACGTTCTTCAGATGATCCTCCAGGTTAGGCACTGACTGAGATCGCATTTGTTTTGACCTCTCATTCTGATCTGTGATATTAATAAATAAAACCAGCATATTAACATATAAATGTATACGCTAAAAGTGTCGTATATAAACTAAAACAATATCGGAGTATTTACATATAACTGTTATGATAAACGTGTCGTCTATAAAATATAACAAAATCGGAGTATTTACATATAACTGTTATGATAAACGTGTTGTCTATAAAATATAACAATATGGGAGTATTTACATATAACTGTTATGATAAACGTGTTGTCTATAAAAAATATGTCTTATTAGTAAACAAAGGCTTGTTGTGGATATATTAAGACTTACAGAAGAGATTATTTTAAATTAGGGTTTGAAATGAAAATTAAACGACGATCATTAAGCTGATTAAGCACCTAGCATATACATGATATACACGTTGACAAATAAGTAACAAATCTGATAACAGTCTAACCTCAATAAAACTAAAAAACAAACGCTGTACATTTCTTGTCATAGTTTTCAGCTCTAAATTTAAGAAAAATCAATTTGAGCGTAAAATTATATTTATGTCTTTGTTTTTCGGTTTTACATAGAATAACGTTTTTTCTTTAAATGATATTACCTAAGCTTTATATGGAGTAAATCCGTACAAATTACACGTTTATTTTACAATAGGGTGAATAAGAGTGGTTTAGAATTTTGCAAGAAGTCTATAAAAATGTTTTTATTTTTCCAAGGTAAATCTTTAGGTAATATATCAGATAAATTATAAACATAGACTATGCAAGATTTTCAATCATGAAGCGAATACATATAGCATAATCCTTTGAAACAAACCGCCACACTCATAGCGCATGCATAGTATTATACAATTCGCCATATTTCAAACACTGCAATGAAAGTAAACAGCTGTAACCAATTAACAAAATATACATATATATATATATATATATATAAATGATTCAACTACCAGTTATCACAATGTGCTGAAAAGAACGATTAATAACATACTGGTAAAAACAACAGGTGCTCGCAATGCTGCATAATTAGACAGAAAATGGATCAATGTTCAGGACTTGCTACATTGGAATAATCAATTTATGGTGATAACTTCGTGTTATATCACATTCCTCTCCAAAATCCAAGCAGGTATATACATATACCATAGGAGTTTATGTTTTACTGCCAATTTCAGCTAAGTAACCAAGGATATTTGATATACCAAGCACAGATGATATATTTGCAAGTTGCATGTGCATTTAAACTACCAGGCAGTCTCCAGATATGAGGAGCGGTTGGTCGACGTAAATTTGGAATCTTGTGTGCTACGTCATCATCATCTGCGCTTGATAACCGCCCTTTCCGCCCTGTTACTTGGATGGCATTACTTTTTGTATCAGGTGACTTACTGGGACTTCCCCCAGGTCCTGAAGATGGAACAATTTCAATCAAGACATCGAAACCCTAACATTGTTTCGACAATATATGTATATCATTGACAATAAATGGTAATATCCATTGAGAACTACTTCATCAAACATTTGGTTGTTTAAAATCTAGAAAACTATCAGATGTATTTCTGCAAAATTCAAATACAAATGAAAAAAACTTACTTTCATCTTTTTAATACTGACACTATCAACAAACATCTTTCTATTGTTTCAATACAAGTCCAACATAAAATTATCATCTGCTTAATCTGTAGTTCAAAAAGCACACCACAAATACAAACACTATCAAATACGAACACTATCAAATGCTTTCTATGTGGTTTCATTACACACGCTATCAAATATAAACACTATCGAATGCTTTCTATCTGGTTCTAATACACACACTATGTAATATACACACTGTCATATGATTTATGTGTAGTACACTATGAGGTGACTTCTATCTAGTTCCAGTATTCACAACATCCAATATTTATCTTCAAAATCAACGTCATGACATAACAATTTTTTAAGTTCAGGAAATTAAAGGTAAAGACGCAATGCAAATTGAAGGCAAGAATATCAAAAACTTGTTGTTTCTGATTTGTAACTTGACACATCAAAGGGTTAGCAAAGTATGAGTAGAGATCATACAGGCACAATTGACAAACTTCAGAATATCGAAAACCTGTTTCTCATTTGTAACTTGACACAGCAAAGGGTTAGTATTGTATGAGTAGAGATCATACAGGCACAATTGACAAACTACAGAATAGAAAAGGCTTGTTTCTCATTTGTAACTTGACACAGCAAAGGGTTAGCAAAGTGTGAGTAGAGCTCATACAGGCACAATTGACAAATATCGGATTAAAACAAATCTATTTTAAATCTGAACATTCAGAATTTTAGTTTTAAAGTGATATTAAATAACTAAATGTAAAAGCCATGAAATTGCTGTCCACCCGCTAGATTAAGACAGAAAACACCCTGAAGGCGTTTGAGAGCTACATATAGTCATTTAACAGGAATGAATAAATACAGAGTGGTTTGGTAGTTTGATGTCGATAGACTTTAATTTTTATTTATTTTTTTTTTTTTTGTCAAACTGTTAATAAGGAAACAGATAATGTCTATTCCTGTCAATTAAAATATTGAATTTTTTTTTGAGTTTTTTTTCAGTTTACTTGCCTTGGATAGACATTAATCCATTCATGTTGACATATAACGTCATCAACTTTTTTTTTAGAAACAATTAGGAAATCCCTCCATTTTAGCATTGCAATTAGCGGCTTTTGTCATGAATCCACAGAGGCCTATAGAAAACAATAATGGATGGCAGACTAACATTTCAAATCATTATCCGCTGTTCCTGTCTGAACGTTCGTTTATAACAATATTAGTATTGGTTAGTAATAAAAACAGTTTTAAAATAACATCTAAACTGCATATACTCGTATACCTATCACAGGAGGTGGAGGAGGTGGAGGGGGAGGCGCCGGGATCCCGGAAGCTGGAACAGGTCGTTCTTCTGTGTCTGTTAATGATCATATTATAAAGGTTTCAATTATTACATTCCTGTTTCTATGTTCTCTGTAATGTTCTATATAATATCACTGATACATTCCTGTTTCTATGTTCTCTGTAACTGTTCTATATAATATCACTGATACATTCCTGTTTCTATGTTCTCTGTAACTGTTCTATATAATATCACTGATACATTCCTGTTTCTATGTTCTCTGTAACTGTTCTATATAATATCACTGATACATTCCTGTTTCTATGTTCTCTGTAACAGGTTCTATATAATATCACTGATACATTCCTGTTTCTATGTTCTGTGTAACTGTTCTATATAATATCACTGATACATCCCTGTCTCTGTTCTCTATAACTGGTTATATGATATCACTGATACATTCCTGTGTCTATGTTCTCTGTAACTGTTCTATATAATATCACTGATACATTCCTGTTTCTATGTTCTCTGTAACTGTTCTATATAATATCACTGATACATTCCTGTTTCTATGTTCTCTGTAACAGGTTCTATATAATATCACTGATACATTCCTGTTTCTATGTTCTGTGTAACTGTTCTATATAATATCACTGATACATTTCTGTCTCTGTTCTCTGTAACTGGTTATATGATATCACTGATACATTCCTGTGTCTATGTTCTCTGTAACAGGTTCTATATGATATCATTGACACATTCCTGTTTCTATGTTTATGTTATTGGAGGTTTTTATTGTTAGGCTGACATATATATACCAAGTTTCATTTTAGAACTTCATTATTTCCTCTCACCCTTATGAATCTTAAGTTTCTCACTTTTCATAAAGAATGTTAATGTTGCTTTACAAATTTTCCTTCCACATTTGATACTGAAAACGTCTTTGACACGTTTCAAAATATAAATATATCATTGAATGACAAGAACTTTGTAAAGACAGACCGGTAAATTGCTGCTGAAACGAAAGTATTTCATTGATGTAACATCATGTGCATACATCTTTAAGGTCTCTTAGAGAAAAATGTGAAATTAAACTATAACGCCATGAATAACAATCATGAACGTCGTGCTTAATGAAGTTTGCATATTTGTTTAATATTTTATCACCATGCTCAATAACATACCCAATAATATGTCATTAATACATAACCATATATACAATATAAACAAGATATGTGACATCATATGAATAATACATGTATGCAGATTATAAAAATTTCCACATAGTGCGGTATATAATATCAGGAGAAGAATGGACATTGGGTAATATATTATTAAATGTTAATCATATATTTTCGTTGGAGTTTTTTTTATACTTTTTTCGTGGACACTTTATGTATAAATATATCTTAATGAATTGACATAAGAGCACCAATGAATCCAATGAAAATAAATCTCCATGATTTTATGGTAGTTAGTGTGCGAAAATAGCTGGTCACAAATAATGCATTGTACAATACAAAACCTGATACACGTCTGATATAGAAACATGCATTACCAAAACAAAACATAAATAGCAACATATCAACACAACCATAATCCAAACTCTAAGTCAATAAAACCAGGGCAAAGTATTTAAAAAATTAAGATTTACATCGATACTCCTGCAAAGTACAAGGAAAATAAGATCAGGTGTTCCGGAAGAGCAAGCGTCTTCTGCTTCTTGATTAATCCAAGTAAGTACTGTCATGTTCTCAAATGGGAACAAGATATCAAAACAACGGAACAAGATATACAACAACGTTTATCATACGGCTTGGTGGAAAGCTGTCCATGTTGATTTCGCTGTAGTGAAAGATCGGGATAAGCAACTGATTTAGAAGAATCTGGTGTGTATTTGATTACCAACCCTTGTTGTTATATACAAAATACGTGGTAGATACATTTCTTGTCATTTCAAGGCATGACGTCATCAATATAGCTGAAATATTATACTAACTGACTTTCCAATGCCTTTATCTGTTTTGATAAGCTTATAAATAAATTCATCAGTTCTCATAAATCTGTTGGAAGATCGTACCACCAAACTCATCGAAACCTTCATGAACCTTGTTCTTTTCTGATTTATAATTTCGTCCTCCGTATACATAATTTTTTATTTGGACGTAATTTTTGCGAAATACTCTTCAGTATAGCTCACAACCGTATATTTATACTGCCGCTTACCTTTCCTGAAGGAGATAGAACTCACAGGAGACCAAATGCGTACAGGGTGGAAAAAATCAAAAGTGTTTTTCAGAAGACTTCTTTTGTACAGAGTGTTGAAGATTGGTCAAAAGTTCTTATGAGACTTCAAAATCCTCATATCATGAATACCACTTATTGAGTTAAAAATAAGGCTGTAACTCAGGTGAAATAGTACTTAGAATGGCGGTAAGTTGTTGTGACAAAGACTTGGTAGAAAAGTTAGACGATAAAATGTTTTATATTGATACTTGTGAAGCTAAGGAATCCAATGTAAACAGGGAAGGTCCGTATCCTTAACAGTAAATGGGATTATTGTATCAATTTGAATACTTTTGGACGTTTTGTCAATAAACAGTGCACGACGTATATATTAAACAGCTACAGGATGCACTTTTATTCATAGTTTGACTCTACTGTTTCAAACTATAAATTTCATTATAGAGGTTATTCAGTTGTGTACTCTTTGTACAACTCTGAATAACAACCCCATGAATTTGTAAAGTATTGTGGCACTTGAAATACAACTAATACATGATATGTCGATTATAAAAAATATTCAATCAGTCAGGTAGTAAATTGTTTCCTGACAATGTTACGATGGACGGATAGAAGAGCGTACGGAAGATCGGACGGATTAACGGTATGAGTTTAACCAAGTACTTCTTCCCGTGTTATAGGTATATGGAAATATGTAGGGACGTGCTACGAGAGTTTGTTATTTGTATATAGAAGCAAATATTTTTAGTTGCATTGTGCCTGAAATAATTAACAATACGAATACCATTGCGGGCCGGAGGACTTTGCGGGGCTTTAAATGATGGAGGTGCCTTCGACGGTATCTTCGCGCCTGTAATTTTTTATTAAAAAAAAAAATATATATATATATATATAATGCTTTCAAAATCCGAATACAGGGGATTATTTTTTCGTGACAACGACATATAGCATATATATGAAAAGCAACAGTGAATTGTACACGCCAAATGTCTAAACAGAAAGTAATCAATTATTGTATACTTTCAAAAAGTGTGCGTTTATTTTGGAATAATATTGTATTTAACGTTAATATACTACGTGAAATGTTTTCTGTATTTTACAGAGAGAAGTACAAAATTACATTTTGGATAAACTCGTATGATATATATTCATAGAAATGATAACGTTAGTAGTACAGCTGTGTGTTATACAGTAATAGCTACACACCTTTGGAGGAACTTTGGGGAGGAGGTGGAGCCAACTGATCTGGCTGTGGCAGTTCGGGGCTATGCATACCCATTGTTTTTCCAGAAACCACTGTGAATTGATTGCATTTTTGTCAAGAAGTTTCTTGTGTACTTTTAAAATTAAATGATAATCCACAAGAATCCACAAGAATAATGCTGCTTTAAGAATAATACCAAATGTTTTTTAAATACAGGGAATTACACAAAGCATTTAAAACATAAAATAGCGTCAATAGTAGACAATGCCGTAGACTATGCTTCAAGTTAACACTATTATCAAATCTTACTTACATCTTAGACAAATTTTACAACAATGACAATTTATATTACTCATGTATTGAGCCGAAATGCTTCCTATTAACATGTAAATAAGTGAACCAATACTTAAAATATATAATGAAATTAACTTAATATATAACCGCCTAGAACTCGACATTCAATACCTCTTCCAGGCGGGAACATGTACAACTTATATCCGAGAAACTGTACAACCTCTATTTCAGAACCTGTACAACTTCTATTTGGGAAACTGTACAACCTCTATTTGGGAAACTGTACAACCTCCATTCGGGAAACGGTACAACCTCTCTTTGGGAGTCTGTACAACATCTATTCGGGAATATGTGCAACCTCTCTTCGGGATTATGTACAACCTCTATTCGGGAATATGTGCAACTTCTATCTAATAACCTTAATTCAGTAGCCTATACAACATCCCTTCGGAACACCTCTATAATCATAGTTTTGTATCCAACTTCCTGATTAAGACTTCTTAAAATCCCGCTAAATTTTAACACTTTCTAAACCCACATGTTTCACATATTCCATGGCTATGTTTACCCTAATGAATATATTGTAGCGGCGATATACAAACAAGCGTAAATAATGCTAATTGTTGACTGATTTCCTCTGGTATCTGAGCCCATATTCCACAAGTTCAGTCAAAGATAAAGTATCTGTTCGAACTCATAAGTTATAAAAGATATTTTGATTAATAAAGTTAAACAAATTTATGTTCTTTTCAAAATCATTTGGAAAAAAAATAGATAATTATAATGTGGCTATGATAAATGAGTTACAATAAGTATAATGACTAGTATTATGATTTACATGGACTGGGCATGACCTAACATTCTATGCATAGAGGCAATTTGATAGAAATACCCGTTAATTTCCGAATACGAATTGACTTTCTTTGGGAATGAGAGAATTCATTTCACCATTAAACCGGATATGGGGTGATCTATTCCATTTAATTGTTTGTAATATGAGCACTGCAGTGGATGTGATGTACATGTACCAATAAAGATGGATAAAACTGACTTTATGGTAACTTCAAATGCGTGCTGTCCTTTAAGACACAAAATGTACAAAGTAATTTTATGTTTGTCCGATATTTTAATTGAACTAGAGATATGTGTATAATACTTGCAAGCAGAACGTGAATGTGAATAGACCTTTGTAAATAATTCCAGCTTTTGACGCAGTTGGAGATAAAAGGAATCTGTATGTGATCCAGTTGCCATAGAAGCCATGTCATTTGTTAGGGCAAATGTACATATTAAATAGAAATTGTTAGTAATTCAATGAGTGTATGGTACCAGGAGATTTCGAAGGTATCTCTGCAGAATTTATTGAACATGGTTCCTCCGATGACTGCTTCGTGTCTGCAAATCGTAAATTGTATTTGTGAAGTACTTACAAAACGCTGTTACATGTTTTCCCTAATCAAGCTTTACATTCCATTTCACCCCTGATACCTGCTAATTCGTATCAGTCATAAATGACATGAAATAACATGTTTTTGTTAATCTGATGCCAAATTCTTACGGTGAAAATCAAATCGCAGGTATATACTTTCGACACGATACTAGTAACAAAATGGAATTACAATTATGATATTGATTGACTTCAAAATCTTCATCAGACCATTCAATACCTTCAGCAGACCATTCAATACCTTCACCAGAACATAAACAAATCCACATTGAACCCTGATCTCTACCAGAGTTATCGTTCCTTACAATCACCATAGGTTTTAGTAGTACATCAGAACAAATTATGGGGATGAAAATTGTGATTTCATACACCGTGAATATTAATATGTATGATAAATAATTTCATGAACAAAACAGAAGAATATATTGAAATACAGAGAGAGAATGGATAATATGACCAGGGTTAAGTAGAAAATATTAGGAGTAAGTAAACGATATTCATCAACACACCAGATAACATAACAGGCGGTGGAGCTGGTGCCTTATAATTTGGTGGTGGTATTTCAGAACTACTATCGTCCATTGTGTGCCTGGATATCACTGCAATTTAATTATAGATTTTGTGGTCAATTACTTAACGTGCGAATCATAGATACTCAAATCGGTAAACTTTTTACGGGGAATGCAACAGATCACTCCGTTGATTAAAAAATTATGTTGCTTACATTGTATGAAATAATTAGTATGTCTACTATATGCTCTTATAAAAAAAGTATACTTTGGCTGCAATACGCACAAATGGCATTTTATCATTTTTCGAAGCTATCACTTGCCATGTGTGGTATAAATTTCTCAAATTGTCTCGTTATTCTGAAACATCAAATTTAAACTTCACTTCACACAATATTACAACTTCTTAGAGCTCCCTGTTGAAGTTTTGTTTTTTTGTTTTTTTGTCTTTTTTTTTTTTTTTTTTGTTCTTTTATTTTATTCTTGATTAACGTACTAGAATTATGTTTTATGCTTTTCATGCATGTCACTGTCAACATAACAAAATATTCATGAAAACAATATGAAAATAGAAAATGGAGTATCTTTTGTTTTTTTTTTTTTTTGTTTTTGTTTTTTTTTTTGTTGTTTGCCTTTTGCGCTATAAATGTATTGGAAATAACTTGTTATGTTTTCTTATAGAGAAAACATCAGTCTTGTTTTCCAGATTTCTACTTTATTTTCTTTATTTTCCAACAGGCTAGATACGTTAATATCTGATAGATACGAATATTTTACCTTAGAGTTAAAATGACTTTAATTTCGTTTTCCTTCCAAAAAAATGTATGATGAAAATAAACTCCAATCATATAAGTTGATTTTTAATGTTGTGAGCTCGTGTATGGTAAATATTTGATTAAAAAGTAGTTAGATATGTTTTACCCAAGAATATTTACATGTAGCTGTTATCATAAATAGAAATATCATGATATGTTCTATTCTTTTAGTGTCAGTTTAAAATAGCACACGACAAGTACTGATGCAATAACTAAACTTCATCATTGTAAATCACAGGTATCATCCCACAGCTTTACTCAACATTCACATCCCTGATACCGATCAAGTATTTATCAAATGAGTGCATTTTAGATTTATAACATTATGATTGCCAAATTCTGATTCGTGAGTAGGCTGCGTGGACGAAAGAATTATTGAATTACATTACAAGGACTACAGACCTTGGTCAAATCCAGGTTTGTCGTTTTCATAGCCCAAAGGCGAGTTAACTGCACAAGGCGGTGGTGGAGTTTGCTCCCTTTGTTTCGGTGGAGTGACTACTTTAGTGTGAAAGTTGGGATCTCCTTGCCATGAAACTATTCAAGGAAAGAAAAAGTGTAAGTAAAAAACGTACTTGACAAATGGTGAAAATGAAGATTGAAAACGCCGCGCTATGGAAAAACATGAACGTGCTGCTCAAATACATTGAAAATAATCGTCTTTAAATTTTGTACTGCTTTTAAATTCCCTGTTAAAGTTATTATAATTTCACATGTAAAGTTGCCATGTTCAAATACGTAGTAATACAAAAAAATAATCTAATGCAAAGAAACCGGGTAGACTTATACAGGTAGGCACTCATGTAAGTCAGATAGTCCTAATTCCCGGAAGACCTTTCCTTGATTTCATGTCCGCGGAGACAACAGATCTGATCCGCTCATATATAGACATTGAAAAACTGTAAAATGTAGATAGAAAGCCCTACTAAATATCAGAACTGAATGAAATTAACATAACAACAGTTTGAAACTAGATACGCTCATGGAAGTAGTTTTGAGAAGAAGCTGTCTTCCTCGTCCTGTGTAGCGTGTTGTTCTTTCGGAAGTTTATTTATGCTTAAGACACATCGATCTTTGGTGTATTTTTGTTTTTGGGAACACATTTTTTCCATTTTTTTTTTTTTTTTCAATTTTTCTCTGATAATCAAAAAATTGATCCACCAATCGAATGTTTACAGAATCTTGATAAAAGTTTTCTGAAAAATCAAGAAACACTAGAAATACTCTTGTAAACTCATAAATATTACTAAAAATGCGTAGGAAAGAATATTCCGTAAACTAAGTTAAGGACAAACAATGGAATATTTATCAACGATTTCGATACAGAGATACTGACCTGAATAATATAAAATATAAAACGATATGTAAAATATATAGTAATCCTGAATATCTTCTTATCAAAACATTCAGGAATGAACAGTTGTATGATGTAAACAAATAATTCATATGTCTTATTTCATCCTCGTTTTGTTATTGCCTAATCTAAATACCTGGTTTAGTTTTTTAGAGCAGTATTTGATACCGAATTATCAATTTTAGTCATTTTTTTTCAAATTTTAACATCTAATTGCTATATAGCCATATGGTCATTACCAATATATATTGTATAAAAACAGGAGTAACTGGATAACTTTTGGAACAAAGCATATTGGTGTTATTTTGGTGCATGTGTTACTATGCTACGTTCGCTGTACGAAAATAAATGCGAAATAAAAAGCTTGCAAATAAAATGTCGTTCTAACAAAAAGAGCGCAGAATTACCTACCTGCTGTGCGTGGAATTTTGTTAAGCTGTCTCGGGTCTGGCATACTATTACGGACTCCGGGTGGCAGCTCAGAGCGGGCCACCCTCCTCATAGGAGCGACGGTATGGCTACCAGTCTTTTCATAGTGCAAATGTCTGTTGCTACGAGCAGGTTCTAAGGTGCAGATATGTGATATAGATGTTCAAAAATATAATAAAATGGAATAAGTACTGTTAATATTTTTATATAGCGTTAGGATACCTCGTCATTCCGGTCTTCAACATATGGTTAACACTACGGCTATTGACAATTACAATTCGTTATGAAAAAATTATTTTATATCACTTTAGTCATGACAATCTTGACAATCATACTAACTTATGATTGATTTGTTTTTGGAGAAAAAACAGAAGAAATATATTATGTATTTCTAAATAAAATACAGTGATCTAATCAAATATGTTGTTCTTGTAAATTAACGAAGAATTGAATATATCGGCTGAATAAACGAGGTTCTGTCATTCATTACAGTGTAAACACATATATCCTGACACGATCTACTTTGTTAATTGACATTGTTAGAATTAGTTTGAAATACAATAGTAGAGTATACAGGTAGTTCAATTCTAGAAGATATTCAAACTGTAAATTCGAAATACATGTCAAATGTATCGAATAATGAAAATAAAGCTTTCCAGATGTCTCATGTTTATATTACAATATCTCGTGAAATTCCCTTCAGCGTAATAATGCAAACTGAATAAATGTTCTATAATTATATAAAATCTGGTCGTGATATAAAAAAACCTGTTCAATCACATTGGAGTTTTTGTCAAATCCTTCAACTTGATAATGATTGAATGTAACCCCCAACCCCAATCCCCCGCAAGAAAAGCATGATGTGTAACTCGGTATTGAGATGTAAAGGGCGATAATAATTAATAACAAGTTTGTTAATGAAACAATATCATAAGGTTGAAATGCAGATGCTAATAGATAAAGAAGCAAGTTTAAATGTATGATAAATCTTAGACTATATATCAATTGATAAGTATATATGATATCAGATAAGCCTGAATATACATTGATATCAACAATGTACACACTTCTAATTTACTAACTAGCGGTACTAGGATTACATTGTAACAAAATGCCTTGAAATATTCTATAATATATAGTAATATTGAAATAAGACCAAACCTTTAGCACGAGCATGCTCCGCATTATACTTTTTCATCTCGTTTTGAAGTGTTGCACCCGTAACGGTTTTAGGTCGTGTCGACACTGGGGCCTCATAGTCGTAATCTTAAATCGAGAACGTGTAAATATTTTAAGATAAACTGAATATTTTTATCGTGTAATATGATGAATGTTTTCAAAACATTTTAAATATATATATATATATTTAGTGTCTTTATTCTCTGCTTAGACACAGATTGTGTGAAGTACACGATTTTTTATTCTATGCTTTTCCAAGAGCAGATGGTATGATAAATTACAGATTCGGGCTACATATATTCCTGTTTCCCTACAACAGAAGAAAATTATCCCTGTCTTAAGTAGTAATAGCATGGAGTATTAATTAGGCCCCCAGATTTAGGTCACGTTCACGGAAAAAATAGAGAGATCGAGTCTTTACTGTTATAAAGAGGCAAATACATTATTTATATATATCATAACCTGATAAACCCGATAAGGACACGGATGTTACTTATCTGTATAGACAAAACAATTTATAAAAGAAATATTTCCCACATTCTTAAAACTTGAGTAATTTTTTTTACACCTTTGGAAAATTATTCTTGTAATTTAGTCAAGGTGGTTGGTTTTTTGTATTTTTTTAAATCTGAGTCCAGAAACAGTTTGTTCTAAACCAAGGATCGTGACCTTAACCCTTATCTTAAAGTTTTACTGATTTTATTTGACTCCAGACAATCGGGTATTTGACCACTGCAACCTTGAGTATGGGTCAAGGTAACTTATTTTGACGAATGTCGATATCCACCCAGAAAGGTATCAGCCTGTTCTCATGACCCTGGTTCTTTGATTAATCAAAAATGATGAATGAAGATTTCAAAACATTTATATTGGCAAAATAATTATACCAATGTTTAATGTAGTAAGTATGTCACGATAACACATTGCCAGCCTAGAATTAATTACTGTGAAGTGATTTTTTTCTCTCATTAAGTAAATACAAAACGAAAGCGATGAGTATACGTAATGCTTTATGATAGCAAATGGCACTTCTAAATTAGAAATTCTTATTTGTCAATGTATTACAATTATCAATATCACTCAAAAATAACAGTGTAGCAAGTCTGCTCTTTGTGTGTCATTTACCATGCAAACAAAATCAGCAATGTATTTTCTTTACATATTTTAGATATTGATAAATATTGGACAATGTCATTATATTACCCTTTTGCCACCTACTTTTAATGCTAAAATATGTAATTGTTTCTTTTCATCAGCTACATGTATCATGCATGCAACTTTTAAAAAGAAAAGAAAAAAGAAGATTGTGTTTCAATTAATGGAAGTGAAATTTCTTAAATTCTGTTTCTTTCCTGTAGATAAGCTCTCCCGGAATTTAGTTGCGTATACAAGGTATATTTCAGTATATAGTTGTGAAATTATATAAACATATAAAATGTTAGTAACATCATTTGACAAAATGTGTGCTTTCAGGTATTGTCTAGATTTGTCGGATTTGTGGCACAGAATGATGAATCTGGTGTAAACATATTACATTTATACACATCTTAAATATACAAAAAAATATTTGAATATTTCACTCCTGTTTGAAGTTTTTATACATCGGTTACAGAAGTTATCAGGTGTACATTGGTATATCGCTTCCCTCTGTAGATTTCCTGTCAATTTATGCGGTATTTTTCCATAAATTGTGCTGAGAAGTATTTATTTCATAAACAAAGAAAAATTGGCGTTGAGGCTTGATGAAAATTGTAATCCTATTTACAGACCTAGACACTTAAATAATTTACACTGTTAGTGTTAGTGGTATTATTAGTGTGTCTCATTTTATACTTACCGCGTTGATAATGGTGTCCTTCAACATTTTAGTTCGTAATTATCAACAAGCATATAAAAGAGTGTGACCGACGTTTACCTTAATATATAGGACTTAAGTGAATGTTTATGTCACATGAGATTTAAGAAACGAGGCTTAGAAGTCTTTAATCTTACATCGAGACAAATGGTATTTAAATTCACATGAAACAAAAACAAAAACAATTAAAATAACGCTTTGACAGGTTTTGACTTCAAAATGTTGGGTGCTGAACTTAACGGGGGCAGCCATTTTGTCGCGCCATTTTCAATTCATGACGTAACATCATTGTTCATATCATATTACAATCAATTTCTGACTGGTGCAGCGTATTAAACTACTGACACACGCCAAGCTATTACATGGGCGAATTCACTACATAACAGATGGATTATGTAAAGAAGAAGAATAAAGTAAAATTTATAATTTACATTCTGTTAGTTTTATCTAACTAGTGTTAACAGGTAAAATATATATTACTTTAATAATGAAATATGAAAACAAAAAAAGCTCTATAGCAATATGTGGTATATAAAACTATCAAAGTTATGTTCCTAAAGTTACATAAAATTTTTAAGATTATAGAAAGATTTTAATAAATCGTACGAGCAACACTCACCAGGTGGTGGTTCTGAGATTTTCCGATCTCGTGTCTTCGCTGCAACTGCTGATTCTCCAGGATGCTGGTCCACTGAAGTACAAACAACAAATACACCGACTATTATACTGAATATTCCGGAAGGGTGAGCGTCAACAGATTCGTCATTCGAACTCGAATTCTGTGAAACTAAGGGTGAAATATGAACATGGAGAGTGCAGTAGCAGTGCAAGTCGAATAAAACCGGACGATAACGCAGACCTCAAATCAACCACTACAAAAATGACAATGAAATAAGATAAAGCGCGGATGCACCGCATCACCACAAAAGGCAATATACAAGTGATTATCAGTACCAACATTTGTCCAGTCGTTTACCATTTTTCGGCAGATATGTCGTGTAGTCGGAATCGGCCTGCCCGAGAAGGTTGAAATCATTGGTAGTTAGAGTTTGTGTACGATCTGATCCATTTAATTTGATGAAAAACATCATCACATCAGTCAGGTTGCTCATGTCAGGATGCTGGAAACAGAGAAATTAATAGCTTATAACATAGGTAAACAGTTACAAAAATGTATTTTTATCTTTACTACTTAGCAAATACGGTAATGAATGACAATGACACAACATCTCTTTTGTATGTCTAGGTCTCATCAATGACGCTACATCAAACATCTGTTTCGTCCGTCTAGGTCTCGTCAATGACTCTACATCAAACATCTGTTTAGTCCGTCTAGGTCTCGTCAATGATGTCACATCATAAAGCTGTTTCGTAAGTCTAGGTCTCGTCGATGACGCCGAATCAAACATCTGTTTCGTCCGTCTAGATCTCGTCAATGACGAGGTATTTGCCTCATATATCAATGGATTTCGTAATTTTCATGAATCTGATAATGTCAAAAGAATGTCAAGTGCATTGTATATTCTGGACCGTGCTGCTATTCAAATATACCACAAGGCGTGGCATGCAGGTAACCGGCATATTCGTTATGTTAATCTGACATTAGAAATATGAATATGAAACAGGAAGAAAAAAGTGGATGGTATAACAAATATTTACAACCAATTTGTTTATGGAACAGGTTTAATTTGGTTTAACATATCAGTCTAACTGATTCAAAGGAAAAGACTTTGATTTTTTATGGTTTTCATTAAACTTACCGTGGTATCAACATCGATTCTAAAACCTCCGACCGTTCTAAGGACCTTGAAGTGGTCACACACGGGTGCTCTGCATGTAAAAAACATAAATCAATTAAAATACAGTACATTAAGTACAGACGTTTTCATGGAAGCATGTAAACCTTGGTACCAGATTTAGCGCCAGATTTTTTTCCTTAATAGTCATTAAGATATGGAATAAAGTCGGATGCATAATGGCTTCTAAAGATTTACAATTGACGTTGCAAACCAGTGATGTAGTGAACGGGTCTTTGCTAAATCATGAAACTTGATATGAGCAGCTGTAGTATTTTATCAATGACTCGATCACTATTGTATCAGGTTTAGCGATGATACTAGCAACACAAATTACCTGTCTTTGATCTTGGAACAGTAAGAGATCACGTAGGTACCATGAGATGCCGCCTGAGCGCTCTCCCTCATCAGAGTATTTCCATAGGTTGTACCAACCTTGGTAAATATGGAAAGGGCCTTTTCGCGGGAACAGTTCGGAACGAACCAGCTGGGATACACATCGTCGCCCAGAGGATTGTTCGAAAACTTGTGCCTCTGTGAAATTGTTATCAATAACGAAAAGAATAAATCTTAATTATTATCTGTAATATATATGTATATAGATGAGATGAATTAACAGTAACAGCAAACAGAAATTCTGTCATGCAAGACGAAATGAAAGGAAAGCTTAAACCCATCGCAAAAAAAGGAAAGAATGCCATGAACACCTAAAAAGCAATCCATTGTGTGTGTTACAATATACAAAGTACCGTTTTCGGAATAAAACAAGTTTGTGAACTTATTTAGCTTTACCCGGTAGTATAAATATAAGACACATGAATAGACGTCGAAACTGAATTCAAACGAAAACCAAACATGTACTCAAAATCCGGTCCCATCGAGATAATTTGGAATAAAAAAAAAGAAATCTCAGAGGGATCTTTGCGTCCACCATTGTTTGTTATTTATTTGTTTTTTAAAAGATGGTGTTTTCCTTCTTTTCTCTTCTATTCTGTTTGTTTTCTTAACCATATGTAATTTTTAAAATCCTGTAAGAAATTATGATAATGATATTTAACTGTCACATCTAAGATGGTCTGCTGTCATCCATTTCTGTTTTTTAATCAAACAGCGACAACCAGGGAACAAGATGAATCTACATATGAAATTTAGCAAGATCCATCCAGCACTTCTCAATAGATAATGAAAACAAACTTTCATTGTAAAATTCTAAAATGACCACCTGTCAGACCTATTTTGAAGTGGATCACACCTAAAGTCAAAGGGTTACATGCAGAGACCAAGAGGAACCTACATATGAAATTTAAGAGATCCATCAAATGCTTCTCAATGAAAAGCGAGAACAAACTTTCATTAGAAAAATCCAAAATCGCCACTAGTGTCATTTTTTAGCTGATCACTCTCAAAATCAAACGGGCACCAAGAGCAACTTAGGTATGACATCTTAAAGAGATTAGTATTTTTCAAAACATACCGATAAAAAAACATTTACGGACGGACGGACGACTGGACGAACGGACGACGGTGTAGATCCAATAAGGACAGTTGAAGCAGACAATAAAACTAGAATAGAACAGATTCAATTATACTAAATTAGAAAAATTACTTACTGTTAGGATGGAAACACTAACGAAATTAAGTTTCTGAACATATTTATCATATTGGTATTATGACCTTATGAATGTGAAAACGTAAAAAAAAATCTTATAATTTACTTTATAAATTGCTTCCATGTCACAACCCCTACCGAACCAGGAAAACCCGCATTGTTTGACGTTTTTACATGGGAGCATGTCGGAGAAAAAATAGTGGGTTTTTTGTGATGAAATGTCATGATCGTACTAATCGTCTAAACAGCTGGATAGATAACTTAGAAATTTGTGATATTTACCCGAAGTTGTTAAACTTCAGTTATTCAAATATAATTACATCAACTGTCCATGGAGCAATGTGTTTTGAAAATCCACATAAACGATGTGATAAGAGCTGAAATAGCTTGGGGCGATTCGGTGCAGATAACTGCGAAGTGTATCACAGATAACTGCGAGGGTGTATCACAGATAACTGGGAGGTGTGTCACACTGCGAGGTGTATCACAGGTAACTGGGAGGTGTATCACACTGCGAGGTGTATGAAAGATAACTGGGAGGTGTATCACACTGCGAGGTGTATGACATATAACTGGGAGGTGTATCACACTGCGAGGTGTATGACAGGTAACTGGGAGGTGTATCACACTGCGAGGTGTATGACATATAACTGGGAGGTGTATCACACTGCGAGGTGTATGAAAGATAACTGGGAGGTGTATCACACTGCGAGGTGTATGACATATAACTGGGAGGTGTATCACACTGCGAGGTGTATGACATATAACTGGGAGGTGTGTCACACTGCGAGGTGTATCACAGGTAACTGGGAGGTGTATCACACTGCGAGGTGTATGACATATAACTGGGAGGTGTGTCACACTGCGAGGTGTATCACAGGTAACTGGGAGGTGTATCACACTGCGAGGTGTATGAAAGATAACTGGGAGGTGTATCACACTGCGAGGTGTATGACATATAACTGGGAGGTGTGTCACACTGCGAGGTGTATCACAGGTAACTGGGAGGTGTATCACACTGCGAGGTGTATGAAAGATAACTGGGAGGTGTATCACACTGCGAGGTGTATGACATATAACTGGGAGGTGTATCACACTGCGAGGTGTGTGACAGATAACTGCGAGGTGTATTACACTGCGAGGTGTATGACAGGTAACTGCGACGTGTATCGCACTGCGAGCTGTATCACAGGTAACTGGGAGGTGTATCACACTGCGAGGTGTATCACAGGTAACTGGGAGATGTATCGCACTGCGAGGTGTATGACAGGTAACTGCGACGTGTATCGCACTGCGAGCTGTATCACAGGTAACTGGGAGGTGTATCACACTGCGAGGTGTATCACAGGTAACTGCGACGTGTATCGCACTGCGAGCTGTATCACAGGTAACTGGGAGGTGTATCACACTGCGAGGTGTATCACAGGTAACTGGGAGATGTATCGCACTGCGAGGTGTATGACAGGTAACTGCGACGTGTATCGCACTGCGAGCTGTATCACAGGTAACTGGGAGGTGTATCACACTGCGAGGTGTATCACAGGTAACTGCGACGTGTATCACACTGCGAGGTGTACGACAGATAACTGCGAGGTGTATCACACTGCGAAGTGTATTACACTGCGAGGTGTATCACAGGTAACTGCGAGGTGTATTACACTGCGAGGTGTATCACAGGTAACTGCGAGGTGTATCACACTGCGAGGTGTATCACAGGTAACTGCGAGGTGTATGGCAGATAACTGCGAGGTGTATCAAAGGTAACTGCGAGGTGTATCACAGGTAACTGCGAGGTGTATCACACTGCGAGGTGTATCACAGGTAGCTGCGAGGTGTATGACAGATAACTGCGAGGTGTATCACAGGTAACTGCGAGGTGTATCACACTGCGAGGTGTATCACAGGTAACTGCGAGGTGTATCACAGGTAACTGCGAGGTGTATTACACTGCGAGGTGTATCACAGATAACTGCGAGGTGTATCACACTGCGAGGTGTATCACAGGTAACTGCGAGGTGTATTACACTGCGAGGTGTATCACAGGTAACTGGGAGGTGTATCACACTGCGAGGTGTATGACATATGACTGGGAGGTGTATCACACTGTAATCAGTTTAAGTGTATAACCACTAAGCAATTATAATTGAGAAACAACAGCTAAAACACTGACAACTCACCGGCCAGTCCGCTACAAATAAATCTCAATGTATTTTCTGTTTACACCATCAGTGTGGATGGCTCTGTTGTCGAACTGTTTTATATAGCGAGTATCAAAGGAAAGAACGAGGATGGAAAAGTAGTCAATATCACTTTTCAAACGCCGCATTTGATTGGTCAAGAAATAAAATTGACCAATCAAATACGTCATTTGAAAGGAAAATTGGCCTGTCTTAATTTGGCAATGCCAGCTGATTCAGTTCTACACGAAAAGAAGTGTGATCTGTGAGATTGTAGTTGATGTGGATAATTAGCATACGAATCGAAGTTTGTAAACATATATATGTAACCGAAAAATGTCACAGGAATGTGAATTCAGTATTTGTACATGTCAACGGCGTTATCACTGGATACCAGCCTTATTTGACCTGAATTTCAGCGGATGGACATAGCGACATCGCGGAAATCGCCGTTCTTGATTCGTATTTACAGTGAGGGAAAAACGTAGAAATGTTTTGGTTTTTTCCCTGTTTTCCTCGTAGGTAATGTATTTGTGATAAGTTTGGTACCAACGATGTAAAACTTAAATGTTTTTGGCCGAATACTGGCGATTTTTCTGAGACTGGTGAATTTCTCCGCGATATTTCGTTGGTCCCCTGTACTAGTTATTGTATACAAGCCCTCATCCACAGAAACGTTGTTACAGACCCCTGTGCTCATAATCGGTTAAATTATAACCACACGCACCTCTTACAGTTTACCGTAAATCAATATAGGTTATAGATGGTAAATTGAAGTGTTTCGCACCTTAAAGATATTATGACAGGTGTCCCACTAGGAACAAGATATATGGTCTCCATTCATTTATATTAACAGGTATACAGTGGTTAGTTTTAATCTAAACAAAACCAAAATATGAGCCTGAAACCAGATTAATTTTAACAAAATTGACACGACATATCTATCCATGAACATTCTGGTATGAACAAACTTTTTTCATGGTGTGGTCATATAGAGCACACGTTTGGAAATCCTTCAAAGTCTTCAACCTTCTTAAAAATATTGATACAGAAAAAACACCCACCCTTTAACACACAGACTTAAACTATAAACCTGTTATAACAAATGCAAAGCAAGCTATCTGTTAACCTTAGGTTATGTTTACTCGGATGGAAGCGCGCAAGGGGTCTAACTGTGATAAGAAACTGTGGTACCCGTTGAAACTCGTGGAATCGAACCAGTTTTAAGATAATAGTAATGTATCAGAGACACACATTGAATAACACATTTACAGACAAGGTAAGATTGACAGTAGAGCTAATGTTTAAAACTACATCTTGTGGCTTTTCCCATCCTTACATTTTGAACAAATGATCAACCTAAATGTCGAAATCTAGATGGGGAGATATACTTGCCCAATAATCCAATAAATTACACAATGTTTAAAGATTTGATCATTCAAAAGAACGCCATGTACCTTTAAATACCACAAAAATTCCATCGGTAGAAGTAAGCAGAACAAATCTTAATATCTACATCAAAAACAGTCCTTATTTTACTGTCAGATGTTCCGTGTTGGACCTCTACTGAAATCCAAATGTGTGTTAGTGACATTCCCAATAGAAGTCACATAAGACATATATGGGATTTTTATTTTACATACATTGACTGTTGACAAAACACAATTTCATACACAAAAATCACCGGATACTGTTCTCAGCTAATAATGTTAACATGCCATAATACTTAATCTTAAACATACACCCAATTTTACCGTCATCCAATTATGCCTTTAGAGTGAGAGCCTAGATTTTCTCTAACTGCAATTGCGTCAGTCACGTGATTTTTTAAATATTGCTAGAACTAGACATTTTGGGGCGGTAGAATCGATACTCTAAAGCGAAAAAAATGTTATGGGAGTATTCTATCGGGACAATGTGTAAAAACAGGGAAAATATGTTGTCACAATGCCATATCAGACGTTACCTTCAGTTCTAAATCTATAACTAATCGATAGACTGTTATATCTGATTCCAATCTTTGGTAGTGTTACTGTACGGTCCATCTCCGCGGAGATCTATCCCGTCAAGGTTCCGACAAGAACTAGTACTTTCTTACATGGAACTTATTTTAAGAAAGCCAGAAAGAATAAAGCTGAAAATGCGCTTAAGATGTATCATTACAATCTCCAATCGTGAAATAAACGAGTTTACCGAAGACCTGTAACGCATAACATTCATATCCTGCAGCGTTCTTACCTTGCCACTCCGTCCGTTTGTACTAAAAGTAGAGCTCCCTCCACTTCCGCCCGACCCCTCGGAGGCGGAAGTGCGTTTTGTTATGCTAGTTACCCTGCTGACGGAGTCGTGTGGTATACCGCTGTCTCTACTTAAGTCGGTGCGCGCGCTCAAGTGACCGTCTGGTTCTTTTGGACACCGTTTTAATCCCCCGAGGATAAATTCCATTTCTTGGATGTAATCTGTTGGAAGGTCAAGGTCGGGTGGTATGCTATCCTATAACAGAATTACAACAGAGGAATTAGGTCTGGTGACAACACACCCTATCAGACACAGAAGAAAAAGCATTGGTAACCGAGATCTGCCGACTACAATATACTTTTAAAAGTGTAAGTAGTCTTTAGTAAAGTTCGTGCTCTCGGTCAGGAAAATGTTTCATTTATTAATTAAAGATTGCACAAAAGACACGTACAAATTTAGAGTGAGATACAATAGTGCCAAATACTGAATCAAAATGCACCATATAGTTGTTTCGTCCTTTTATGGGTCGTCATTGATGATAATGGTTTAAATTTTGAAGCCTAAGAGGCCACGAAGGAAAACTGAAAGTGATCAAAAGAAATAACAAACTTAATGCGCGGAGCTGCAGTTACTACATGATTTGATAAACTTCGTAATATATATATACATGTATCTGGTATTTTCAGAATCTGTATTGATCAATCAACAGAAAACCAGACAGAATATAATTGTTACCTTGGATACGATGGAGATGAACCCCCTCCACTCCTCCATTGCCGACTTTTTAGCGGTCTGGAAAATAGTTTCATTAATAATATAGATAGCTTTAACCAAAGCCTCATGTCAAAACAATAATAACAAAAGGGGAAAGTGGGTCAGGAGGAATAATTATGTGTCAGACATTTGATTTGACCTTAGATTTAAAAAAAAAAAAAGAACAACAAACATATTCAACCCTGTAACTATTGAATAGATTTGATATTTCCAATCATATATAGACAAACAGTATGAACTATTTTTGTAACAACATATGACAACTATGTATCTGATTCACGAAACAACTTCTTAGTGAAATAATCTATTGTCACTAAACAACGTTGCTTTATTGACATTGAAGCTGTTTTGGCAAATATTCCTCAACCGTTAAAGCTATCGAAGACAATTTTCAAACTTACAAATGAACTTTAGTAACTAATATCACAAATATTTTTGTGAAAAAATGAGTTATCAAAATACACATGGTGGTATATCTTAGTAATGTTGTAAGCATGGCAAGGATTCAGAGTATATAATGTTAAAGTTCTCTGAAGGAAGGACCCATAAGAACAGTGGCACTCATACAGATCAACCATAGACCAGAGTATTTCACATGTTTTCATATAACCAAAAACAGAGACCACGTGTCAAATATTTATTAACATATAGATAAACATATCATAATATTTTGTTTTGACCCAAATGATCTTAAATTTAGATTCCATAATAAAAAAGAATACAGGTGTTGCTCTTTTCAAAATCATATCAACCCACTGAAATTCTAAATTGTTGGATGATTGTTCTTAAGTGATAAACGTTACATTGACAATAAACCTTTCGACGACGGGAACAATGGTGCTTATATAAATATCTGGGCTGTATAGAAGACAATTTATCAAATAGACAGATACACTTATCATAGAAAGGCTTACAGTGATCAATAAACAGCTTTAAATTCAGCACATAAAAACAATTTAATAAAGACAATAAGTGATGCTAGGGTCTATCAGTTTGGGATTCTTGTAGGGAAGTGAAGAATATTGAAAATGGTCAAATGTCAAATAATAGAAGAGGAAGTTTAATGTTTTTACTCAGACAATTTAGTTCAGTATAGAAATGTCTTGGTATATACTGTTTTATTTTTTCAAAGGTGACAACATTCTGTAGTCAAATATGACAAAATTGATGCATATATCATGGATTCTAAAAGGTAACATTCCTCTCCCATCAGAAAATATTTCTTCATGAAAGAATTTTGAGGATCTTAACATCAATACATTGAATGTTTTCTTTTGAAGTTTGACATTCAGGACTCGGACAGGAGTTTAGATACAGGTGTAAATATTTTGGCACAATACAATAAGTATTAAATATAATCAAGAGTATAACATCATAATAACAACCATAAATATTAAACTATGTAAACTTTACACACGAATAAACCAACAGAACCGTACAACACTAACAGTGATCAGGTGGTACAAAAACTAACAACATGCCACAAATAAATATGTAATGTATTAGCCAGTATAATGGGAGAATCTTGTTTAGCATGTCAACATCCATGACGAACATACCAGAGTTTTGTTTCAGAAAGTTAAAACCTTTCAAAACAGCACAAAAACTTTTCAACGACGAGGCGTCTATATTTTTTTTAAAACCTCATACAATTTAATAAAGATATGAACAGTAATACCATCTCAGTTACACATGTGACAAATCATTCATATTTAATATTTCAATGTATAGCTATTGTAGCAAGACTTTCTGGGGGGTGGGGGGGGGACTGTTGTTGGTTTGTAGTGAAAAGATCAAAATGAAATGATAATCAACGTACAAAAATCAACATCAAAACACACACAAAGTTTACCAAATCGCCTGACAAGATTAAGTATTCTGCACTTCTATTCTGTTAAGTTTTACCCCATGTGTCTTCACTCGAGACACATATATCATCGTTTGAATAAGTCTTTGATGCAAATTCTTTGTAATATGGACGCCTGATTCAACAAAGTATTCCAAAACACAAGTTCTATATACGTATAAATGTACGTAATTTATTGTCTTGAGATTTTCATTTTTTCTACAATTTTACCTGGAAACATCTGTAAGTATTGTGGAATGTCACTCACATCTCTGTTCTCAATCTTACATGGTTCGTGCACAGAAATTTAGTGACATGCTGACCGTAGGTTTTGTCATCGCGACAGGGTAAACTAAGCCTGTTTAGTAAAGCCTAGGAGGTTAATAGACATAATGATCACACAGAGGAAACCTAGAAACTGGAGACATTGTATACTCAGAGGAGCTAAAATTACTTCATGACAGCTCCCTACACATAATAATATTATTTCTGATTGGTTTTGTTCACCATGCACCTTTTAACATTCCTTTTTTTATAAATATAGGTTTTAATGCAGCCTATGGCTTATCTAATTTTTTTAAATTTAATTTTTTCCTACTTATATAAATCTTCATTAAAATGTCAACATTCACTTCATACTTCCTTGTTTTTCAATAGAACCACAGAGCACCTTTTGTATTCATGGAACAGTTAATGCCAAGCAATTTAGACACGGCTTTGTTATCAAACTATATCCATCGTATATCCTTATTATTCCGTGATTCTGGTATAGATTTGACATTTCAAGATTAACATAACAGGTATGTTATTGTGCCTTCAAGTCATGCATCCTTTTACTTTATCCTTGTCTGCAGACATTATTTCATTTATTATATATAAAAAGGCCTAGACTTGCTTGATAAAGGAGGAAACCTACCTATACATTATTCAATCTTCTCAAAGAATAAACACTGGCTTACTGTGCTTCATTTAGATTGCCTACTAGTTACAAGGTAGAAAAGGTGGACGGCTGAACATAATAGTGACCGAATGTTACTGATAAACTGGGAAATTGCTGACTTGGTTTCGTTTTGAAATGGGGCTGAATTTACCTCAAAGAATATTATAACAGGTCATACAGACCTGGCAAAGTCCTTTTATTTCACTTTCTGATATATTGATGAAAACTTGCCTTAAAATAACAAAAAAATTATTGACCACGTTCATCGTATATATCCACCGGATTTGGAAATCGACAGACTCTTTTGCGTCGGCTGTTTATTTGGATATTTTCCTATAATGAAACCGAGACGGGAAGCTATCCACAAAGCTGTATGATATGAGTGATGATTTCAATTTCACTATTGTGAATTTTCCATTTTTGAATTGCAACCTCCCTTCTTTCCAAACCTATGTTACTTACATGTCGCATGGTATTAAGGGATGCAGGTTGTTAAACATTATGAGGAAGTTAAACAGTCGTCAGAAGTGATATAATTTTTTCTGTGTGCGATAAGGAGCTGAACGTGTTTGATGCTCATACGTTTGCCCGCTGGCTCCGTTGTTGTTTACCATGTTTTCATTCATCACTTTCAATGTACTTGGATTGGCAAAATTTACATGGCGGGTGTCGTTTAAGAAGCAGAAGACGCTGAACTTTCCGGGACACCTTGTCTTATTCTCATTGTACGTATCCTTCCTTTTGTTTACGATTTGCCCCAGTTTTATCAAATTTAGGTTTGAATTACGATTCCGATGATATTGATGTTATTTTCTTGTTGTTCTTGTAAAATATGATAAATTATCATTGGTTATATCTCATCACGGTATATCACATATCGTGTTTGCATTCACGGGTGCATGAATGTCAACATGCCAAAGGTAAATTTAACGGAGCGCGTTATGTCGAAATCGCTTTATCCGGTAGGAATTCATAATTCACATAAATATCAGAGCAATGCTTATATCTGTTCTTTTAAATTTCCATTTTGACAGAAAGCAACCCCCATTTGTATATATTACTTGTAGTATTTCTGATTCCCTGTTCATTAGTTGGTAATATACAACTGACTTTGGTAAGGTTACATCGTAGGAATTCCATACAACGGTAAACGTGTTGTATGAAAAATATATTAAACGACATGAAAGTTTTTGCACATATTGGTCATTTTAGACACACAAAAAATAATATGCTTTATAAAACAGTTAAAAGCAAAAACATCAAAGAATTCAACATCTTGTCAAATTAGATAATCCATTTATACAGGCGGTAGACAATGTTAAGAGTATTTACCTTGAATTTAACGTTGGACTCAATATTTCTATCTCTGGCAAATATCGTAAATACATAGCCACCATATTTCTTTTCCTCTTTTTCTCGTCTTGTAAATACAGTGTTGGAATTTATAGGGAGTTTTCCAGTATGCTGAAATAAAGAAATGAAAAAATTGGTAAAACGGAAAACCAGAAGTATTCCAACAAATAGAAAATGTAACTGATTATCAACATGTTTACAAATGACGTACAACTTAAATACATTGATAAACATTTACATTACAACACTGTGTATTGACTGACAATAAAAGTTATTTACTGTAAATGGCGACTGATTTGATGTTTCATATGAAAAATAATACATGGTAACAATCATTACATTAAAATCGCAGTAGTCATATAAACCATTGTAAACCATTGGATAAAGATCATGACAATCATTAATTATTAGTTTATTTATTTACATTCAGTCATGCACATTTATGTTTCCAGAATAACGCTGTTGATGAATATTTTGCAGGTTATAAGATGTGTGAACATGAGTGTGATTATTACATATATAGAACATAATATAACAATCAAAACCAGCAAATTTCATTGTTCCTTCATGCAGAGTTAGTTGCTCTTATGACCAGGAATTGCTTGCTACGTCGTTTGTTTGCCCGGGGAAATTACGTCGTTTTCTCATAAATGACGGCAATATCAACATCACAGAGGCATACAGCTGTGCATTATGAAAAGACGGCATTCAAAATCAGTATTGAATGCTTGTAAACATATAGATATTGTATAAAGCTTATGTCAGTTAAAACGACCTGTTTATAGACTCTGGCACCAGATAGAATAGGATATATTTTATATATGTTTTGGTACTTTGGCGGCGAAGGTATTATGTGTGACCCGAGTCTTATATTTCTCTAAATTAGCCTAGCTTAGAATAGCTGTCGAAGCAGCTCAGTAATAGAGAAAAATTCCTAAACAGACATTTACCCACATATGAACATGAAGCAACTCAGCCAAGTAACATATCTGCTCAAACAATGTATTACACAAAACAGACATGATCTACCTATATTTTGAAATGTGTTTTATATTGTGAATGAGTGTCTGTGTAAATGATATGTACGCGTGTATACCTCATAATAACGCTTATCTTATAAAACCCATGCTCACTATAATTGTAAATGTTTGATCGTAAAAGGTTTAATTAAGTCTATTGAGAAAATTTTGGTCACATTGATACAGTAATAAAGTATATTTGAATGATACGACAAAAACATTTCCACTTAGCATCGTTTCTGTTAAGAAAAATACATAACTGCATATCTACATATTAGAACAACTCCGCCTAGCAACGTATCGGTTCAAAAGGTGAAAGTCAACTTTACAGAAAATGAATACCTTCATATCTGTATTGTATAATAAAACAACGATTCTTTTCAAAAACGTAGTATGTCAAAAATACTTTTTGTGTTTATAATATTCATAAATTATTTATATATAAATTTATTTATACATCTATATTAAAATTCATTTGTTCAATATTGTGTAGATATAAAGTAACAGGTACAAAATTAATGATGATAAAGTTCATCAAATGGAAGTATATATATTTACATTATATACAGCAGGCCATATACTAATACAATAACTAAAATATCATGCATGACCATATCACCTCACAGATGTATGAATTCCACAGATAAACTGTTGTCGTTTACAGAAAATGTTATCAAACAGAACGGCTTGCCACAATCTACTTGCTAGAAAATCTGGTTGTAGAAATATACAAGTTCACATATTTAATTCATCGCGTATCACACATGTGCATGAATGTGTTTTTTAACAAGTCTTAATGATGCTTGAAGCGTTGTAGCACCATTGAATTTACCATCTATGTTTAGTAAACCATCTGCCTTATTAATCATGATTTCAACCTAAATTATTGAATTTTATTTCTCTCTGTAATTATTATTTCAAGTATTTACTCTACTTTTTGTGTAGTCTGAATTAAGGACAGAAATGTATAAAGAATACTTTGTTCGTACTGTGGGTATCTAGCAATGCATGTAATACAAATATTTAATATTCTCAACGCTGTCGTTCTGAAATTCGACATCTTACGAAACAGGCTTGTTATCTATATGGTGGCGACACTGAATACACCTATTGCAATCTAGTGAAGCAAACATCAAACTTTAAAAGATATAAAGAATCAACACCATAATGACTTTAAAACTGCACATATCTGACACGTAGTCTGGACATGAACCAACTGATCGTGTGATCAGTATAAGCAGGGTTGATTAACTGAATTGTGAATATTACATTACTAATATCGATTATTTCTTCTCATTAAACCACCACCCTATCAGAGGGTATCTGAAATTATAAGGACGATGAACTGGGAACATGAATAGATAAAAAGTGTTAGACAAGCAGTAATACCTACAGACTAATAACACTAAGTTATAGAAATCATCTAGTCCTAAGTGTTAAAAACCGATAACAACATTAAGAAATATCAGCTGTGGTTTAACCAGTGTCTATACACATGGATGGTTTTGTTAGCAGTCATGATCAACTTTCTAGCCTCTCATATCACCTATCCAATCTACTAGACAGATTTTATGGTTCATTAACATTATTTAAAGTTACCCTAACAAGACTTTTGTAAACAATCATTTGAGAAGAGATATGTCACTAAACACGACCATGTCCCTTTCCATTAGAATTAGGTTATTGGATAGCGCCTAATACATGTAATCACTTAAACTGCATCATACAGCTCCTTCATCCTTCTAGAACTCGTCAGTTAAGCTTATCATACAGCTCCTTCATCCTTCTAGAACTCGTCAGTTAAGCTGTAACATACAACTCCTTCATCCTTCTAGAACTCGTCAGTTAAGCTTATCATACAGCTCCTTCATCCTTCTAGAACTCGTTAGTTAAACTGCATCATACGGCTCCTTCATCTGTCTAGAACTCGTCAGTTAAGCTTATCATACAGCTCCTTCATCCTTCTAGAACTCGTCAGTTAAACTGCATCATACAGCTCCTTCATCCTTCTAGAACTCGTCAGTTAAGCTGTATCATACAGCTCCTTCATCCTTCTAGAACTCGTCAGTTAAGCTGTATCATACAGCTCCTTCATCCTTCTAGAACTCGTCAGTTAAGCTTATCATACAGCTCCTTCATCCTTCTAGAACTCGTCAGTTAAGCTTATCATAGAGTTCCTTCATCCTTCTAGAACTCGTCAGTTAAGCTGTATCATACAGCTCCTTCATCCTTCTAGAACTCGTCAGTTAAACTGTATCATACAGCTCCTTCATCCTTCTAGAACTCGTCAATAAACCTTGGAATGTTTGAAGTGTAAAGTAGATGGTGGACGATATGCCGAGGAATTGTATGAAATTTGATTTAATTTTCAACTTTGTACAACATTTACTTAGAATAATTAAAAATTGTTAAAATCAGACACAAACAAAAAGCAAACAGAAATGGTAAAAAAATCACTGTAAATACAAACGGTATCGACAATGCGATCATTAAGCAAAGACACAATAATATCAATTCGTAAGGACGAAGTATAAAATTTCAATCTGTACGATCGCGCTCTGCATCTCGAACATTTTCTGACAAAATCGAAGGAAAGAGTGAAGCTATATGTTTAGAACAGTTTCCAAGACAATAAATGACCAATTACTGACTGAAAATCTCTTACAATCAGCGACATCCAACTTCAAAGCCATTACAATACAGTTATATGACTTCGAGATGCGTTTGATGTACATCCACAAGGTGCCGCTCAGGGAACCCTCCAATTGTGCCAAGAAATATTCCAGGATTATTTACACAATACACAATGCCAAATACACAAGTACAGATACATCAGTGTCATAACGCCGGACAAAATACACCATTGTCGATACACCAGGATAATTACGTCAGTGTCGATACACAAGGATAATTACGTCAGTGTCACACAAGGATAATTACGTTAGTGTTACACAAGGATAACTACGTCAGTGTCACACAAGGATAATTACGTCAGTGTCAATACACAAGGATAACTACGTCACTGTCAATACACAAGGATAATTACGTCAGTGTTACACAAGGATAATTACGACAGTGTCAATACACAAGGATAATTACGTTAGTGTCAATACACAAGGATAATTACGTCAGTGTCAATACACAAGGATAATTACGTCAGTGTTACACAAGGATAACTACGTCAGTGTCAATACACAAGGATAATTACGTCAGTGTCAATATACAAGGATAATTACGTCAGTGTTAATACACAAGGATAATTACGTCAGTGTCAATACACAAGGTTAATTACGTCAGTGTCGATACACAAGGATAATTACCTCAGTGTCAATACACAAGGATAATTACGTCAGTGTCAATACACAAGGATAATTACGTCAGTGTCAATACAAAAGGATAACTACGTCAGTGTCAATACAAAAGGATAATTATGTCAATGTCAATAGACAAGGATAACTACGTCAGTGTCAATACACAAGGATAATTATGTCAATGTCAATACACAAGGATAATTACGTCAGTGTCCATACACAAGGATAATTACGTCAATGTCAATACACAAGGATAACCACGTCAGTGTCAATACACAAGGATAATCACGTCAGTGTCAATACACAAGGATAATTACGTCAGTGTTACACAACGATAATTACGTCAGTGTCAATACACAAGGATAATTACGTCAGTGTCAATACACAAGGATAATTACGTCAGTGTCAATATACAAGGATAATTACGTCAGTGTCAATACACAAGGATAATTACATCAGTGTTACACAACGATAATTATGTCAGTGTCAATACACAAGGATAATTACGTCAGTGTTACACAAGGATAATTACGTCAGTGTCATTACACAAGGATAATTACGTCAGTGTCGATACACAAGGATAATTACGTCAGTGTCAATACACAAGGATAACTACGTCAGTGTCTATACACAAGGATAATTACGTTAGTGTTACACATCGATAATTACGTCAGTGTCAATACACAAGGATAATTACGTCAGTGTCAATACACAAGGATAATTACGTCAGTGTTACACAAGGATAATTACGTCAGTGTCATTACACAAGGATAATTACGTCAGTGTCGATACACAAGGATAATTACGTCAGTGTCAATATACAAGGATAATTACGTCAGTGTTACACAAGGATAATTACGTCAGTGTCAATACACAAAGATAATTACGTCAGTGTCAATACACAAGGATAATTACGTCAGTGTCAATACACATGGATAATTACGACAGTGTCAATACACAAGGATAATTACGTCAGTGTCAATACACAAGGATAATTACGTCAGTGTCAATACACAAGGATAATTACGTCAGTGTCAATACACAAGGATAATTACGACAGTGTCAATACACAAGGATAATTACGTCAATGTCAATACACAAGGATAATTACGTCAGTGTCAATACACAAGGATAATTACGTCAGTGTCAATACACAAGGATAACTACGTCAGTGTCAATACACAAGGATAATTATGTCAATGTCAATAGACAAGGATAACTACGTCAGTGTCAATACACAAGGATAATTATGTCAATGTCAATACACAAGGATAATTACGTCAGTGTCCATACACAAGGATAATTACGTCAATGTCAATACACAAGGATAACTACGTCAGTGTCAATACACAAGGATAACTACGTCAGTGTCAATACACAAGAATAATTACGTCAGTGTTACACAAGGATAATTACGTCAGTGTCGATACACAAGGATAATTACGTCAGTGTCAACACACAAGGATAATTACGTCAGTGTCAATACACAAGGATAACTACGTCAGTGTCAATACACAAGGATAATTATGTCAATGTCAATAGACAAGGATAACTACGTCAGTGTCAATACACAAGGATAATTACGTCAGTGTTACACAAGGATAATTACGTCAGTGTCATTACACAAGGATAATTACGTCAGTGTCGATACACAAGGATAATTACGTCAGTGTCAATATACAAGGATAATTACGTCAGTGTTACACAAGGATAATTACGTCAGTGTCAATACACAAAGATAATTACGTCAGTGTCAATACACAAGGATAATTACGTCAGTGTCAATACACATGGATAATTACGACAGTGTCAATACACAAGGATAATTACGTCAGTGTCAATACACAAGGATAATTACGTCAGTGTCAATACACAAGGATAATTACGTCAGTGTCAATACACATGGATAATTACGACAGTGTCAATACACAAGGATAATTACGTCAGTGTCAATACACAAGGATAATTACGTCAGTGTCAATACACAAGGATAATTACGTCAGTGTCAATACACAAGGATAATTACGACAGTGTCAATACACAAGGACAATTACGTCAATGTCAATACACAAGGATAATTACGTCAGTGTCAATACACAAGGATAATTACGTCAGTGTCAATACACAAGGATAACTACGTCAGTGTCAATACACAAGGATAATTATGTCAATGTCAATAGACAAGGATAACTACGTCAGTGTCAATACACAAGGATAATTATATCAATTTCAATACACAAGGATAATTACGTCAGTGTCAATACACAAGGATAATTACGTCAATGTCAATACACAAGGATAACTACGTCAGTGTCAATACACAAGGATAATCACGTCAGTGTCAATACACAAGAATAATTACGTCAGTGTTACACAAGGATAATTACGTCAGTGTCGATACACAAGGATAATTACGTCAGTGTCAACACACAAGGATAATTACGTCAGTGTCAATACACAAGGATAACTACGTCAGTGTCAATACACAAGGATAATTATGTCAATGTCAATAGACAAGGATAACTACGTCAGTGTCAATACACAAGGATAATTATGTCAATGTCAATACACAAGGATAATTACGTCAGTGTCCATACACAAGGATAATTACGTCAGTGTCGATACACAAGGATAATTACGTCAGTGTCAACACACAAGGATAATTACGTCAGTGTCAATACACAAGGATAATTACGTCTGTGTCAATACACAAGGATAAAGACACCGTTGTCAATATACAAGGATAAAGACACCATTGTCAATATACAAGGATAAAGACACAGGTGTCAATAAACAATGATAAAGACCCCAATGTCAATAAACAAGACATGATATACCTGTTATATACGTTGTAGTACAGCATATAGCTATTTCTCTTACTGATGTTCAGAGAAAATTTTACATTATATCTTTGTTATCAGACTATTAATCTTATAGGTGTACCGTTTTATCGGATATTTGCCGGCTCTAGCAGCTTGTGTCATCGTTCACAGACGAACAATCTGTTACATAAAGCTTTACCTTGTCACGCACACAGTCTTGCAGCTATTTATTTAATTTGGCAAGGTGCGAATCAAAGTCTGCAATCAACAAACCCTCAAACCAGTCATTTCGAATCGAATACAACAAGCAAGGAAGAACGGCATCTCTTAGTTTTTCGTTTTTTGTTTGTTTTTTGTTTTGTTTTATTTTTTAGCTGTGCGATATGCAAGATTCAACTTACCGTTTCCCCTGTGTGTTCTCTCTGGTCCGTAAAGAAAAATATATAACCATTTCTCTTCAGTACTGACCACAGGTGCTACAATGGAAAAACATAATTTTAAAAAAAACTCTTGAAATTGTCAAAAAACAGCGGAAAAATCAGCACTTACATGAGAGATATATGAATTTGCTTTTCAAATAGTATCAACGAGTAGCTTTGTTTGATTGTTATCAATATTATCTGAAAAATAACAGTATATATTAACATATTTCGGTATTCCGTCCTCATATAACCTCGGGTGTGGTACTTGCCGTCATTCTAGTATTTAGTGCAATTAAGTTGTTATATTTATCGATGTGCGAGATACATAAAAACACACTTATATAACTTGTAAACTATCAATATTGTACTTAGAATAATCAATAATATATGAAAATTGATTTATTGAAATCAAGCATTATTATATCAATATGTTTATCTCATGAAGTTAACAAATAAACAGTTGGTGGCCCTAATGACCTTTTATGTGTTAACGGGCCGTTAAGAATGTCATAATAATTATAAATATAATTTCAACCGTTTGACGGGTTGGAATTAGGATGAAATTATTTTCTCTGTGGTATGAGTCGCCAATAGGGGGCGCTATGTGTATGATTTGCACGTGTAAATCAAGACTAGGGTCGTACTGTCGCGTGTTACCTGTACGTGTAATTCAGGCGGCATAGGTAGGGACACACGGACGTGGAGATTTTCATTTTGCGGTAAAATGTAATAGTTAAGGATAATGTAAAGGAGTGACATTTATATTCATACATTGTATATTGTGTATTTGTAACAAATTAGTGTATGATTTACATATTTGTTTGATAAATCAGTCGCGATGCCTCTGTCGCCGTGAAATACATTTTCGTATTTTGTGTTGTTTATCCTATTGGATAATAAAATAGAGAATATTAACAATAACAAATAAACAGAACAGGTTTTTTAAATCTACCATTATAGCGTCACAACGTTCGTGTAATCCGGCGTCACGCGAGACTTGCGATAATATCATGTATAGGTGTTACAGGTACCGTGCTGTGTATTCTACTTGTCACAAACATAACTACGTTATCTAATATGGTACTGTATAATTGTACTGCGTAAATTTTGTACATACCGTATTTTCTATTTTAGATATTTAGTGTCAGTCTTTTCTGCCAGTATGTATTTTCCGAATTATTCTACTTTGCCTATATCTATTTTCGGTATAATTCTCTTTTTTAATCAGAATGGTGTTACTGTTTCTCGCCGACATGAAAATATTCTTTCCGTTCACATATGTTCACTTTCTTTTTGCAAACAATAATCATTTTCGGAATAATTCTTTTACCTAACAGACTAGACAAAACTGACGTGACACAATTTTTTTATGAAATCTGTTGTCATTAAAATGCAGAAGATGGCAATCATAACCACTCAACCAGTTTTATATCTATCCGTTTAAGTCAAATTTAACGAGTTTTTGTCGGTACCTTTAAATATTTCTCTCACAAGCGTCAACCCAGAAGAGCACAAACCGTAGAAAAAAGTATATTGTAAAAGATTTATAGAGGCTGATATCCGACTCTGCTTCTTTCAGGGGGTGATTTGTTTAGGAACAGGCAAGACTCGCCTTTCCGTTTAACAGCTAATCTACAGAAGACAAACTCTTGTTTAAGATATTGGTATATAAACATGTTCAGTTTTGGTACAATGATTTACAGGACAGAAGAAGAAGAGGGTTTGGTGTTCTACGATGCTGTGGTCACATGAATATTATCACGTGATTTTCTGACTAGCGCTAGCTCATGCTGAACTTGATGTAACATTTTAGCATGCATATAATTCTTTGTCTAAAACTATTATTTACGTTGATATTTTGTTCTTGTTTTCTTAAGAATATTTACCCATTATAAAGGTTTTAATCAAAATTTAAAAAATAAATCCTTGCTAAAATTGGTCTTGTCATGTTAAAGTGGACAATGTGAGGTTTCATTATTTTTCAGAGTAATATTTTAGCTTTGTGTTTGAGATTACTATTTGGGCTGTCCCGAATCTGTGTCTACGCACCAAAGACTAGCTTTACAAGATGTGAACTTTTCATAGTGTTTACATGTGGTCATGTTATGGAGGATTTCCGAGTTGGAATTTGCTGAAATGTAAGTATTTTGTTACCATGACAGTGTTGTTGATTGTAAGATAGGTGTTTAGAATTAAATTTCTTCTAAAAAATTTGTAGTGTTAGGTTGGAATTAGCAGTATTTTTGCATTTTAAGCATTTTTTCAGTAGGTAACCATGACAATCACATGTCAGGGGACAGTTTTGATTTGCATAAATTTTATCTCTCTACTATTAATGCAATTGTTATGTAGTTTATAAATATATATACATGTAATGATGTATTTTTCATAACCAATCTACTATACCTGTATATCTCAAACATGACCAATAATTTCAGGTAAAATGCAAATTAACTGTTTCCTGCTACCTAAGGTTTCCATCGTCGGTATCGTTCGTCGTATGTATAAATAGATCACTTCAGTCTTCACTCGTGTTACCTTTTCTCTTTCTTCTTCCTCTGTACATGTTACTGATACTGTTACTGACTTCCCATTGCTCAGCTTTGAACATACCTGGGTCTAAATTATTTAGCGTTTTTGTATATTTAATTTATTTCTGCAATATTCGATAATTAAGTTTAAATTAAACCCGAACTCGTACACGAAAAGTTACGCCAGTGCTGAAGAAATACATTATTATATGTCAAAAGAGACAAACATTGTTCTTCTAACCTCTCTGTGCCTAAAAGTTTGATAAGTAAACGGAAAAACTCGCTTTCTTCAACAACCACAGCTCCAATCACATTTTGACAGAGACCGCAATGTTACATTTCCGTTCCATTTTAAACAGTCTGTTATACATTATACATCAACTCTCGCGTGATAGTGTAATTCTAATCGTGCTTTTAACAACTTATCAGATACGAGTTATCAGATCAATCAGATACCTAACCTCACCCGGCTCTCTAACTTACACAGGTAAACTTGTCAATCACACAATGTCAACACATTCGATAAATAAGGTCTTCATCAAATTAGCCCAGATATCCGATGCTTAATGCAATGGCCTGTTTGTGAATGTGTAACTTCTGTACAAAGGTGTCAAATACGTAACAAATGACCAGTATAAACAAGAAGGTTGTACAAGACACACAAGTGAATAGCACCTTCTAATAATTTAGAGTTAGATACAGTACAGCCAAACAATGAATTAAACTGCATTATACAGCTGGTAAATTCTGAAGCCTATGAGGCACCTGAGGAAAATTCACAGTGACCGAAAGAAAAGACAAAATCTAGATTCGATTTCATCCCCAACTCGTACGATTACCAACAGATCATGTATATTGCAACTTATAAATTGTTGGTTCTCACTATATGTATTGTAGCATCTGGGAACACGATACCCAGTAATTTAACCCCGATTCATAAAACTAACCAATGTACATGCTTTCGGCGATTCAAGTGCCTTGACATATCATTGAGATTGGTTGTAAAGGTAATTATATCTTTCATGACGTATATAGTATCTGAAATGTGTTTTCCTTTCACGAAATTTTAGAAAGCAACTCATGGAGTAATTTAGGCTAGCAAAAATTTAAAATTCGAGACGAGTTACATGCAATGAAAGATACCTTTCATCACATAACTAAGCAAAAATGAATTCTGACAGGTTTTTAAGTTGAAGTGTGAAGGACAAAATAAAACTGAGGCAGACATTTTGGGTTTCTTTTTTTAATTTTGCATTAATAGCGTTACGTTACAACCCATATTATGCCATTATCACAATTCATTTCTGACTTGCGTGGTCAATGAAAAACTCTCCGGGGCATATTACACGATGCAAATTTATTACACTGGATAACAGGCCGATATGTTATCAAAACTTCAGTTGTTACACGGGGTCTTTATATTGAAAAATACAATCGATTCCATTTATAAAGAACCTATCGACAATTTCCCCAATAATTACTGAAGTATTTGGCGTTCCTGGTGTATTGCTAGTGTAATGTATTTGTAAACGGGTTGCAAAGCGTCCATTTGATCAGACCTAAAGGTGGTCTTACGTATTTTAACGCTGGAAAAATTCGGTTACCACATCACTATCGTTAATACTAATCGGCAATTCTTAAATAGCATGGCAAGACCATACAAAATAATCGTCATTTGTTTTATCATTTAAGTTTTAAACGGATTTCTCTATCTCTTTCTATTGGAAAATAGCGAAAAAGGAATGTCTTGAACAAAAAATTATATAAAGTACGCAAGTGAAAGCACCTTTTAATTCAACTTAACAGTTAGATACTTTAAAGTCGAAAGATGAATTAAATTACATCATACAGCTGTTTCGTCTTTCTAGGACTCGTCGATGATGTTACATCATACAGCTGTTTCGTCCTTCTAGGACTCATAAGTGATGTTACATCATACAGTAGCTTAGTCCTTCTAGGACTCGCAGTCTAGTAGTTGGAGCTATATAATCACTAGCTGCCACTAGTAGTTGGAGCTTCACGTCAGTGAGTCCTTCTCGCTGCTAATAGTTGGAGCTTCACGTCAGTGAATGACTAGTCTCGCTGCTAGTCTCGCTGCTAACAGTTGGAGCTTCACGTCAGTGAATGACTAGTCTCGCTGCTAATAGTTGGAGCTTCACGTCAGTGAATGACTAGTCTCGCTGCTAATAGTTGGAACTTCACGTCAGTGAATGGCTAGTCTCGCTGCTAATAGTTGGAGCTTCACGTCAGTGAATGACTAGTCTCGCCACTAAATAGTCTCGCCACTAATAGTTGGAGCTTCACGTCAGTGAGTCACTAGTCTCGCTGCTAATAGTTGGAGCTTCACGTCAGTGAGTCACTAGTCTCGCTGCTAATAGTTGGAGCTTCACGTCAGTGAATGACTAGTCTCGCTGCTAATAGTTGGAGCTTCACGTCAGTGAGTCACTAGTCTCGCTGCTAATAGTTGGAGCTTCACGTCAGTGAATCACTAGTCTCGCCACTAATAGTTGGAGCTTCACGTCA